CAGCCACACAGAGGCAATATCAATAACCGTGGAATGCGGCTCAGCAAGTTGGAGCCGTTGCCTCCATTCGTTACCTGTGTGTGCAGCAGCGGCGGCAACCGCATCGCGTGTGTTGCGTGTGCTTGTGAGTCGAGCAGGTTTGCGGGACAGTGGGTCGCGTTGCCTTCTACAATATCATAGTCGGTGGCAAGATTAGAACACAACTCTTCCCAGAGTTAAAAGTAGGTATAAAACCTAGAGGTTTTTATACTTTTCATACTTTTTCTAAGTTTAAGATCGGCTTCAATTTAAAGTAGGTTTTAAAATTAACATATATTTTTAGGTTAAATCCCACATTTAGCTTACCACAGGGCAAGAAAACAGGCCTTACACTTTTCAAAAATTTCAAACCTCTATAACTTCTGTTATTTTTAATTTTCTAATTTATGAGTACTTTTTGATATTTAAATTTTACATCAATACGTTTAAAAATATCGTTTAAAATTTTTAAACCGAACATCTGATTTTTTTGGTAAGATGATATGAAATATTTGGAGTAGTAAAATTAATTATTATCCTTGATTCACTTTTCATACATTTTCCATTTTAACACATATGCTAACCACGTTCAACCTAAAAATGATTTTACAATAGTATATAATCTTCACTATAGTATCCTATCTGTATTATTGGGAACCCGTTTCATTTTGACCATTTTGGTCCCACCGTGGCAAGTGGCGTTTGGGATTGGAATGGAATGGGATTTGGCTCGTTCCTCTGCTCTGCTCACCTGTCCCACCTGAGGGGGTGAGAGCGGGAAAAGGAGAAAGAGACAGGGACGGAGACAGAGTCACAGAGAGAGAGAGCGAGAGGCGGAGAGGATCCCTTCACTTGTTAACTGGTTGGGCGAATAGCTGCCGGCGGCCAGAACCGAACTGAACCGCTGTATCCGAAGTTCGAGATCCGATATTAGTCGTACTTTGTCACTCGATCGGTCACCGCGTCCACTTGTCGCCCGCTTCATTGATCCGCCAATTATCGACTGTTTTCCGGCGCTTCACTCGGCGACGACCATGTAAAGGTCACAGGTCAAGAACGGAAATTAAAGTACCAAAAAAGAGTCCGGAGGTAAACCCGTTTTACAACCTGGAATTGCAATTTGTCATCGGTTTTTTTTGGCTTATTAATTTTTTGGTCGGTTTCGCGGCAATGCAAGGTGTTTTTTTTATTTGTGCATCAGAAACATAAATATTGCATCTGAATGATGATAATACAAATACTGTTCCCCTTTTGCGAACACAAACCAGGTCAAATGTGTCATTAATAATGGACCACCTGAACGTAATTTGTAATTTTCCGACACCTTTGACTTTATTTTCTTTGTGCTGTGAAAAACCGTTGGGTCAGCGAAAAAAGAGTTTCCAAACAACCTTCAGATTTCTGCAGAATCTGCCTGGTACCCTGGGAACCAAGCTATTGGACTGGGTCCTTGGAAATGAAGATGTATTCGATTCATTGTTTCCTAATTAGATAATCTGGAACCAAATATAAACTAGATACTAATAGTAATGCATTTTTCATTATATATAATATATCACATCTTTAGGTTTCCCAGTTCATCATGTATGGTTATGTACTAGCAAAAATATAACAAATACCTAGCTAGCAAATACCCTTAAAAAATGTAAATCTTTCTCGTTTGGACTGATCTTGTGATCCGCACTTCGTTTGCTTTTGCTTTTATCTCCATATTCTGATGCCGGTGAAAAGTTCTTCGCCATCCGCTAATTACACAATGCATGCAAGGCAAAATACACATAATTTATGGGAAAGTTTTGCGCCTGCGCAGCCACTGGCGAAATGAAAGTGCCCATGAGATACTCTTTTTTTCTTACCAGTCAGCTACCGTTGCATGCAGCAGTTAGTCAATATACAGTACCTATGATAACCGTTTTTTTTCCGTAAGAAACCTCTCTTCTATATATGGCATAAGTAAAACACATCGATTTAACATTAATCATTAATGGAATGTGTAATCTAAAACATTGACTTAAAGCTAATTTGCTACTATTTGTTTAATTCGCAGGACAATTAGTCCTGGTTTAGCACTAGCACTTGGTCCTGGCCAGCCAGTTCAGAATGTGACCGGAGTGAGGGGGCCAAACCGCCGGAAATGCTGAAGCACGCCTCGACGTCGAGCAGTACCGCTGCAGCCGGCACCGCCGCTGCCGGGGCGATAAGCCCGCTGTCCACTTTGTTGGGCGGCCAGCTGCTGCGCACCGCTGCCACCAGCAGCAGCAACATCAATTGCAATGGCAACAGCAATTGCAACAGCAACACCAACAGCAACAGCAGCAGCAACAACCACACTGCCAGCGGTGGCAGTGGCCACAACACACCCCCAGTTCCGCTGGTGGAAACGGAAGCGGGAACTGTAGCAACCAGCAGTGGTGGTGCCACCACCAATGGTGGCTCACACTCACACTCGCCGACGCCCGCAGCAGCTGCCGTGGCCAGTACCGCACGCAACATCCACCTGCGACCTCCGCAGCCGCTGAACATATCCGCCCTGAATGCCTCCGCCTCCAGCACGCTGCTCACCGAGGGTGGATCCGGAGGAGGGGGAGGGGGAGGCGGAGGCAGGGGCTGCGTGGGCAACTCCTCAACGCTGCTAAATATCGCCACGCCCAGTACGCCACTCAAGCCACTCACCCCACTTACACCGCTCACCCAGCTGACCCCCAATGGACACTTTCTGGGCAACGGCAGTGTGCACCACCATACCTACACCAATCAGCACATCTTGGCCAGCAGCAGCAGTGGTCACCAGCAGCAGCAGCAACAGCAACAGCAGCAGCAGCCACATGTGCCTGCGCAGACGCACAGCCTCAGCCAAGTGGCGCACAACTACAGAAACTACAGCCAGCTGACCCCCAATCCCGTGCGTCACAAGCTACCCAAAGCGGGTCCTTCGCCGCGCGAGGCCCTCACCAGCCTGGGATTGCTCTGTCTGAGTAAGTACCAGTCCTGAATTACTATTTGTACCCTACTGACTCACTGGATTTGATGTGAAAATTCTTAGCAATCTAGTTATCGGTATTTCAACTTTTATAAGTGATGATTTTTATAAATAGTTAAGAGTTGTAACCTCTAGAAAGGGTTCTTTAAATTTTATATTTTATGTTGTACAGATACCTTTGAAAAATAGAAGGAAGCATCATAAGATTATTTAATATATTGTTTGCTGTTGTTCCTGAAACCCTTGTATATTTTGTTCTAAAGAAGTATTGTCCTTAGTTATAAAAAGTTAAGACATTTAATAAGGGTTCTTTAAATTTTATACGTTTCATATTTAAAATAGAAACGAATTGGACTAGTCCAAAAAAAAAACCCGGATTCAATCATAACCTAACTACCTGTTGCGCAGATATTTTCGAAAATTAGAAAAAAATCATAAAAAACGTATCATACATATACGTTTATTTAATAAATTGTTCTTCCTAAATTTTGTGTATATTTTGATCTAAAGAAGCATTGTTCTTTTCAGTTTCCCTGCTCCTGGCGCTGCTCTCGCTGATCTTCCTGCTGAGGATCTCGCCGAACGGACGCGAGGACGCAGTGAGTCGAGGAGCCGGCGGCGAGGACTTCATCGTCGTGTACGACGTCACCCTGGCCCTGGGCGCGCTCTCTCTGTCGCTGAACCTGTGCTGCCTCCTGGTCTGCGCCATCCAGTTCCTGTTCGCCGTGAAGCTGCGCGAGCCGGCCTTCGAGGGACGGGAGAACCAGTACCTGGCCAAGTCGAGTGCCAGCCGCACGTGCGCCGTCAGCGGCTTCTTCATCTCCATACCGGTCTTCCTCACCGGCCTGATCCTGTACACCTTCAGCCATTTCCACTCCACGCCGGCGATCGTGACCAGCCTGCTGATCGGCGTGGGCATCGTCTTCTGCGGCGGCGCCATGGTGCACAACGTCTTTGTGTGGCAGCGCGAGAAGACCATCAGCTATTGCGGTGCTCCTCCGGGACTGTCGCACAACCTGTCGGTGATCTCGGCCGGCCAACTGCCAGTGACGCTGCCGATGCCTCTTCCACTGCCCCTGCCACCGGGTCCGTACCATACGTATCAGGGTGGTGCCCACCAGGCTAACCATCAGGGTCACCTTGTGCCGCCCTCCGTGACGGCGGTCTCGCCCAACCACTCGCACGGCAGCTTCAACCCGCTGCTCCTCGGCGGCGTCGGCGGAGGAGGTGGCTGCTGCGGAGGAGGTGGAGGAGCAATGGGGGCCGTCAACTCATCCTTCCTGGTGCGTCCTGCCACGGCCACGCCTCCGACGCCCACACCGCGGGCACTGGCGAACAGCAGTTGCTTGGCAGGAGGTCGCGAGGCCAGCGGATCGGTCAGTCCCGGCATTCCACCAACGCTGGACATGAGCAACATCACCGTCCTTCTGCACGAGCTCTCCACGCTGGTCTAGCCCTGCGAAGCAGACCTAGCGCTTAGACTTTTAGATAGACGACATCCACCGGCCGCCCTCATCTTGCCGAATCCTAGTTATAAGCAGGCCCATTGTAAATATTTGTACATACGCTGTGAGGAATTGAATAACGTCCCACACCTCCGAACTATATATCGAATAACATATCATTGTAAGTTAAGTGAATATGCAACTGCATTGCCATTTCAATTAAATTAAATTTACCGGTTGGCGGCAAATTTTAATCCTAGAATCTCTGGAAGAGTATTTCTATATCAATTAAAGCACTCCCTGACCTGTAGACAATCAGACAATATTGGACGGTATTTTTTAGATAGAGGAAGGTACATCTATATTATATTGATTGATCTGATTTAAGAAAGTTAATCATTATTATTGATATCTATCTGTATCTATCTGAAATAGTTAAAGTATCTCCATCTGAAATCGTATCAATCAACATCGTATCATCAATCAATCCATATCATTGATGATTAAAGGAACACCTATGGTGAGTTTATATATATACATGTATACCCCGCATACATTTTTTTCCCATTTTAGTTTAAACTCCAACTGATTTATTAAACATTCAAAACGTATGCCAATTCAAATTGGTATTTAGTGTAAGCAAAGTAAAAGTGATTCTAGTGTTCTAGATCGTTGCTTTCTACGCCGTTTCTTACTTCTCGGTACCATCCTCCACCACTGTTCCTTAAAATGATGGTGTGAAATTTGGTTTAGTCGAGTTCCGTGCAACGCACATACCCTCCGTGGGTTTCGCACGCGACGGATGCTCTTGTAGAGACTATGGGGACGAGGGATACGGGGACGCTAAACATCTGACTTCGAGTTGCGACGCGTGCGCGGACGCAGTTCCCGGGTCTTGGTGGTGGTGGTACTGTTGGCGGAGTTGGTCCTGGAGCTTGTCCTCGAACTGGTGGCTTCCGTGGCAGGAGCATCTGTTTCCGCGGCCTTGGCAGACTGGTCACTCAGGTCGGAGATGCGCCGTCTGCCAACGCGACGAGGACGTGGTCGCTCCTCCTCCGCTGTTGCGGATTCTTCGGTGACTAATGGAGGCTCGTCTGCCGGAGCCGGCGATGCAGACAGATTTTGATCGGTTTGGCTCGTCTTGCGCGATCTCACGCCTCCCGCCCTCGGTTTGCGCACGGGCTGTTGCATTCCCACAGCGGCTGGCGGTTCGCTGTTGCGGCGCAGTAAACGCCGGGCACTCGGACTCTCCGTCGTGGGCACCAGCGAAGTGGCCCGCTTGCTGCGGACCCTAGCTGTGGGCGTGGTGGGTCTGGAATTTGGGGCCTCCGAGTCCACGCTTAGGCGCGAGCGGGAGCGGGTGCGCGGCAACGAAGCGTCCAGGGAACTCTGCTCGTCGATCACCTCCAGCAGGTGCTTGTGCTGAAACGCTCGGCGTTTGGGCGTGGCGACCGGCGGAGTAGCTGCGGGCGACGAGGCTATGGCGTCATTACTACGCAGACGCATCTTGCGGCCAGCCACCGGAGCGGGACTGTCCTGGTGATCCAAGGAGGAACGTTGCGATCGCAGGGGACGCGGGCTATCGCGGTACTCTGAGGAGCCGCGACGCGGGCGCAAAGAACGAGTCGGCAATGGAGCCACAGCTGGCTCCTCGGTCTCGTCATCGGAGAGTACCAGCGTTAGGCTCTGCCTAGAATCCTCTTCTTGGACCAAAAGTGGCTCCTGTTCGGGATCCTCTTTGCCCTCCTCTTCAGCCTCCTCTTGGGGAATCTTCTCCAAGGGCTTTTCTTCTACCTCCTCTTCGGGAATCTCCTCCAGGAGCTTTTCTTCCACCACATCCACCTCCATATCGTTCTCGACAGGATTCTGCTTGCTTTCGCTAAACGCCACTGTGGCCACAGAATCGTTGCTGCCAGCATCCTCCTCCATGGGCCACTCTACCTCCTTCTGCTGTTCTGGCTGACAATCCCCTGCCTTCTGCGACTCCTCATCGCTGTCCAGCACAATAGTGTCGGCCACATCCGAGTCGCTATTGACCGTGGCGCCAAGCGAAAGGGAAGGACAAGGGCCGCTGGCCGCCTCCTCCGGGCAGTCGTCCTTGAAGGCGAACAGCTCGGCACTGCTGCAGGCTCCCGATGGCTGCGGACGGGCCACATAGCCGCGTACCTCAGTGCCGTCCAGTGCTATGACGCAGTCATCCTCATCGTACTCCTCCTCCTCCTCTAGCGAACCCTTTGTGGTGTCTAGGTCATCGACCGTTTCCAGGCTATTGGCGCGGTACATGGAGATCGGCGAGCCATCTCCTTCACCACCGTGTGGTGCTCTTGGACTCGAGTTCTGCGAGACGTTTGTGTCACTGGGCAGGAAGGAAGTGGGCGTGTGCGTTACCGATCGCGATGTGGTGATGGAACCTGTCGACTCCACAACGATCGAGTACATGGGGTCATCGTTGTGCAGCGTGGGCAGCAAGGGGTTCCGGATGTCGGCCGAGGAAAGGTCTGATTCTTCGCTGCTTAGACTGTAGGTGGGCGAGGACAGAGGCTCCTGAGCAGGTGCTTCCGAGCTGCCCAGGTATTCCAGCAGGCCGCCCATCTCCGAACGCTCTGGCTCCTGCTCATCATGTTGATTCTGCTGCTCCTGCTCCTCAACCGACTGCGTGTCGCCCAGCTTTAGTTCCTCCTCTTCATTCAGAACCTGGATGTCTGGCTGCTCAAGCGACGCCACATCGTAGGTGGACATCTCCAGAGTGGTATCCATCATCCGGTGTCCCTGGACTGCAGGCCGTGCTGCAGGCAGAGACCATTGCGAACTGGGTGCGGCCGTAACCTCCGAACCAAGATCGGTTGATTCCATTTCGCCACAGATGGTTGTGCGTTCGGATATCTTTACCCCACAGCTGCCACTGGAGAAGACCTGCGACTGCGTCTCGCCCATCTTGGAGGAGCAGATGGTGGGCAAGAACTGGGAATGAGATGTCGTCGGTGTCGGGCGGACGGTGGCAAAGCTGCCGAATCCACTGCTGCTCTGACTTCCAGTCCCACTTCCACCTCCTCTTCCGATTTCGTTTCGCCCGTGAAGCAATGAGCTACGTGGCTGTGGGCCAGCTGGCGGTGCCAAAGGCCTAGGAGATTCCCGCGGTGGCACCATCACTTGGTCCACTAAAGACACATTGGCCGAGGCCAACGGGGAAAGGAACTCCTCGTCCTCGTCGGACTCAACGCTGCAGGTGCTCCTAGGCTCGCTTCTGGACTCGATCTCAACGATAATCTCGTCGGTTTCCTCCTCCTCCTCCCCCTCGTCCTCTTCGGCGGCATCCTCGCTGTCCACCTCCATCGATCCATCCATACGCAAGGGTATGGGCGGCATAAAGCGGAATCTCTTTGGTCCCGCTAGTGTGGTGGACGTAGCCACCGGCGGAGTGCCTCCCACGGCGTCCACGGCCGAATGCCGCTTCAGGATCGTGAGAATAGCCTGGGGCGAGCTGCTGCCTTGGCGTGTAGTCGTCTGGCGCGTCTGAAGGAAAGTTGGCGGCTGCAAGAGATCGCTGGCCTGGTTCCGCCCCGCCTCTTCCAACTCCGACTGCTGTTCTGACTCTTGGTCTAGAATGGATCTTACATGGCCCTTAACGTCCTCAACCAATTGCTCAGCCAATAGGCGGCGGCGTTTTCGAGGTTGCAGTGAGTACTGCTGCCTGCGCTCGCGGTCCTCTCGTTGCTGCTCCTCTTGCTCTCGCTGCCGCTTCTCCACCGCCTGGTGGGGTACTGGTCGCACCTTGCGCCGCCGGTGGGGAAGCTCCGAGAGTCCGTATTGTGCATGCCGGAGAAAGGGAATGTTGGTGTAGCCCATTTTGGCAGGGACAGAGACGGGGGGTAAGACAGGAGGCGTCTCGAAGTGTGTTGCCCAGTGGGCACTGACGGCGGAGCTCTGAAAGATGCCACCCACCTGGCCGCTCGCGTTCTGTTTGACCAGCTGACAGCTGAAGGGCTGCAAAAGACCGCCCTTCTTAGCATCCTCAAGGCCGACCAGGGTTTCGCGGATGCGGAGATAGGTGCCGGCAATGTTCTGGGCAACCGGCGCCATCGTTGACCGGTAGGCAGAAATAATAGTGCTGGAGGACTCGTCCTCTCGCTGGCGCTCGACGGCCACGTCATCCATGAAGGACACTGCCTCGATGAACTTACTCTTTTGCAGCAGCAGGATCAAGTGAACGCACTCCGTTTGCCGCGAGCGGCACTGGCGCAGCAGGCGGTACAAAAGCCGCTCCTCCGGCTCCCTTAGGCACAGCTCGGCCAGCACTCTGAAGCGTCTGCGTTCGATACAGTGTCGGAAGAAGCGCTCCAGCAGCGACTGCCCCTCCTCCTCGTCGTCGTAGAGGCGGGCGATCAGGAAGGCCTCCGCCATGTTTTCGTTGGCCAGGAGCACGCTCATGTGCAGCGCCGATGACAGGGGACCAGGCGGTTGGCTGGCCACTCGCATGGCCGCCTTGACAGCCCCGCCATCCAGCAGAGTCTCTAGGAGCAGGCGCATCTGCCACTCCTCAAAGTTGTTGGCGGGAGCGGGGTCCTTGTACAGCTCCTTAACGCAATGCTGTAAATAGGCAACGATAAGAGTTTAAGAACAGAACATTTCAAATCAATAACTTTGATTTTAAACATTTTTAGATGTCATCAATTAATGTAAGTTTCGCGTCTATATAATTATCCCAATCAACAATGTATGAGTGGTAAATATGAGTTTCTCTTCTTCTAAAGAATTGGCGGTTACCTTTGTTTTGTAAAATTTAAGGACGGTAAAATCATGGTTAAAAGTCGCAGACTCACTCTTTGCAAGAGTTTATGTACGGTTTAAAATGTTTAAATCTGTTAAATGTGTTAAATATTTCTTTTTCAGCAGAATTCGCAGTCACATTTTTTTAGCTCGGAACTCGACTATGTTTTTACTTTTCCGGGCAGGAATCTATTTGACAGATTCCTTGGATATACATATTTGTGAACTCACTTCGTAATCGCCGCGGTCCAAGCACCAAAATGAGCGCACCGACTTGGCCAGTTCTTCGCCCAATTGAAAGGCAGTCTGGAAGCGCCTGCCCAGCTGTGGGTCCAGATCCAGCAGCAGGTATAGGATAAGAGCATGCTTGTGGGAGGGCTCTTTGTCCGGATCGAGCATCACGTGCAGAAGCGCATGTAGCGAGTCCGGCGGATAGGGGTCCGAGAGGGAGGTGAGCTCCCCCAGAGAGTCGATGTACAGTTTCTTTCGCTGCGCCCGCCTCTCGGAGTAAACGTGTCGAAGACGAACCAGCGGCTGCTCCCGGGTCTCCCGATGATTCTCGTGCTGCCCCTCGGGCAGGAGACCTTGCTCGATAAACCAGTAAAGCACTCTCTGGTACTCGTGCACTGTCCGCAGCGCCTGTTCGTTGGTCTTGCACTCGGCCAGCAAGGAGGGTGTTAGTCGGCGACGACCCAGCTCGACAATGTAGGACTGCAGACGCAGTAGCTCACGTAGCTGGGCAGAGAGCTCTTTGAACTCACGCCGCTCCCGCTCGTCCAACGAGTAGCCGCCGTAGTCGAAGATGCCCTGACAAAGTTCCGAGCAGCGCGTCTTGATTTGACCAGCGCGCTTCACGATCCAGTTGGTCAGCGTGGACAGCGAAAGCTCCGTGGGATCGAGCATGTTGCACAAGAAGCTGCCGTCCAGCCAGCTACGGGCGCAGTCGTTCAGCAGGGCCCCGCACTTGTGCTCTAGGGCCACAGACAAAATTACCTCGTACATGGCAGTCTAAAAATGGAACAATTAAGTCCAGAGAAATAGGATTAGGATCAGTGTTAGCCTACCTTAGAGAACGTGGCGTTCGGATTCAGCTCACAGAACTGAGGCAGGAGGCGCAGGCGAACGATATCCTCGTGGTAGGACTGTGGTCGCAGAAAGAGCGTAGCGCGCTCCCAGCGCAGGGCGTTAAGGAAACGATGTTGCACTCCGTCCTGAGCGTAGTAGCGGCTGCCAGTTGGGGTCAGCAGTGTGCAATCTAGCGGAGGAGGAGGAGAGTTATTCAACTGGCTTTGCCACGAATCTAGAAGCTGGCTCCTACCAAACGTCAGGGAATCGGGATAGAAGTGCTCATCGTAGCGCTGCAGTGAGGCAAAGTGCAAAATGGAGTTGGCACGCAGATGCAATCCTAATCCCGTGGGCAGACCACTGAGGATATAGCCGGCGAGATAATGGGGCGTTTCGTAATGGCGCACGCATGGGGGCATCTCTTCTTTGTACCACTGGTTGATGTCGAACAGGACGAGCTTATTTTTGCGGTCTGTGCTTGAGTGCCAGGATATGATGAGCAGTAGCGTTCCGCTGTCCCCGGCAAAGCTGAAAGTGGAGGCCGTAGTGCAGCCGGTTACGGAGCAAATGCCCCTGTCGAAGACTTGGTGGTTGCGCACCGAGCTGGAATGGAAGTGCTGCCAGAGTAAAGGGTCAATCTTTGCCTTCGAAAAGAGGCAACTTGCGTATGCTTACCTCGAAGCGTAACAGGTCGATCCCCTGCTCCACGTATGAGCGCCTGTAGCTGACGCAGTGCAGCAACATGTTGAGGCCGTCGGCGCTTTGGTATAATGCACATATGTAGAAGCAGGGCTTGGGGTCGTCCGGCGGCATGATAACGCACATTCGCTGCACGGCCCCGTGAGCCCCTTCACTTCTTCCCGGCGGCTGCAGTGTAGTGGTCACTTGGAAGTGCAGCAGGTCGTAGATCAGGACGCGGCCATCCTCTAGGCCAGCGGCAAAGCCGGGGGCCAAGCTGATGCCCATCAAGCACCTGATTCCGCTGTGGGCCACTGTCAGGGGATTAAAGGATTAGCTAGCTCTGGAGTTGCATTCGCACGCCACACACTCACCACTCAACCGTACGGCTAAATGGGCGCCCTTTGAGCGACATTCGTCCAGCAGGAGGTTAAAGCGATCTTGAAGCTCCTCGCCGGGGAAGCTGAAAATTTCCCCGTAGCATGGGTCGCCCTCGGAACTGGAGTTGCTTAGGCTGCAGCGCCGTCCTGGCTGCTCCACCAGGCTGTCGCTATTGAGATCGACTAGCAGGACGATGCCCTCCTTGGTGGCCACGGCCAGGCAGCCGTCGAATCGGGCCACTCGCGTTGCGTCACAGATGTCCCGGTCGAGGAAGGTGAGCGCGCTGCAGTGTAGGCCACATGGCAGGTGGAAGCGGCGCAGCACTCGACTGTTGGGGATCGAGTAGATGAGCACCTGCGTCTTGGCGTCCATTGGGCGCTCCCCGCTCTCCCACGACTCCAGGCAGATGGCCAACATCGCGGTGCGTTCCGGCTCACCGGGAAAGAGTTCCTCCACACAGCGGATGCTGCTGCGCTGCCCGGGGCTACCATGTCCCTCGTCTGCGGACTCGCTGCTCCAGAAGCGGTGCCGGGAGAAGCTCTCGCCGGTGGTCATGCTGCAGACCAGAAGGGTGGCGTCTTTGCCATAACGGCAGGTCACCCAGCCCCAATGGCCGCCGCGTATGATGCCGCCCAGGTAGTCGGCTGCCAATCGGGAGGATCGTGATCAGAGGATGCCATGGCAAATCACACGCTGCCACACTTACCGGTCTCCATATCCGCCGGCTCCTGGCCAAATCCGGGTACGGCGCGCTCAGGAAATGCCGCCGTGCGACTGCCGTCCAACTCCACTTCGTGCCACTCCATTTCTAGTTCATGTGCGTCGGCGCTTTGGCGGTCAATGCCTGGAATTCAGGAAATCCGCAAGGAAAAAAAACACGGAATATTTGTGGAGTGTGCGTGCGTGTGTGTGCTGGCCGGCGTTGCCGCTTCGATTTGATTTGACATTTAAAAACGGTTGTTTTGTTTGCACGTTGACCGCTGGCCCAGTGTTGAGTAACGTTCGACTGAAATTCGCCAATTAGTTAATAATAGCTTGTATGGTTTTTGCAAAGTTACTGCTACCTCCTCTATCTGTCAGCTAATTAAAACATGTCTTTCCGCTTCATTGATAAGAGAAAGCAAAAGGAAGTGCCGGCAATGGCAGCCTGACAACTCTCGCGGTCCGGCAACGCTGCAGGATTGCGAAAATATCGCGCGAGTTTCATAAGAAATTTTGCCGGTTCGCCATTGTGAGTATAAAACAGGGAAGGCAAATATGAAAAAAGAAGGCCTTGCGTTGAATTTCACAAAGTATTCAGACATCTATTGAAGTGTAACAGAAAGCAAAAGTGCGGCAGACAGTGCTATACAGATCTGGCAACTTCCGCTGACCGCCTGTCAACCCTGTCCCGTGCGATTTGCCTGCACATTGTTCTAAAACAACCCAGCCGGAAAAGCCGTTTCAGCAGTGGGCTATATCTGCGACACCTATATGCGATTCAAATGTGAGACACCCGACTCGAGGCTGTGTTCCAGGCAATAGGCGCTACTCAGGCCGATACTCAGAGCGTTCCCAGGCGGCAATCCCAACCAGAACCCAGAACTCACGCATTCCGCATTTCACACACGGACCACGGCACACAACACACCATACAACACAACACAGCACGCACACGCACACAGGCAGCTCTCTTAATCTTCGGGCTGTCCACAAACGCATTGGCCAGCGACGAGGCGGTGGCACGCGGGGATCGAGGAGGAGGAGATCGAGAGGCTAGGCGAGATTTAGGTTTCGAGCGGCGAGCGGCAGGGGTCGTGCGCAGAGGTGAGTCTTTCGTTGGGCTGGGCAGGGGGAAGGGTGGTTTGGGAGCACATGTCGCCACCAGAACAAGAAGGATGAACCGAAACCAAGACACCAACATATATGTACATCTCCTCTTGCAGGCAGACAGGCAGCAGTAGACAAGAGCTAGCGGTGGCGATGGCCCAGCACGGAGGCACCGAGGCTCTGGCCGCCGAACTGGCCAAAGCCGTCGACCTGATTATGCACCCGCTAACCCAGCAACAGGCTCGTCTGGAGGCCTACATGGCCTGCGAGCGGTTCAAGGAGGAATCGCCGCTGTGCGCCCAGGTGGGCCTCTTCCTGGCCAGCTCGCCGCAGTCCAATCAGCAGGTGCGGCACTTTGGCCTGCAGCTGATCGAGTACACAATCAAGTTTCGGTGGAACTGTATCACGCACGAGGAGAAGGTGTACATCAAGGACAATGCCATCAAGATGCTGAACGTGGGCGTGGGCCCGGCGGAGGACCGCTCGCTGCTGCCCACAAAGGATGCGCTGTCGCGCATCATCGTCGAGATGATTAAGCGCGAATGGCCGCAGCAGTGGTCCGACCTGCTGCCGGAACTGAGCCAGGCCTGCACCAAGGGCGAGGCGCAAACGGAGCTGGTGCTTCTCGTCTTCCTGCGGCTTGTGGAGGACGTAGCCCTGCTGCAGACGATCGAGTCGAATCAGCGGCGCAAGGACATGTACCAGGCGCTGAACAACAACATGAACGACATCTTCGAGTTCTTCCTGCGCCTGGTGGAGCAGCATGTGACCGCGTTCCGTGAAACGACGCGCTTGTGCAACTTCACCAAGGCCAACGCGCACAGCAGGGTCGTCGAAATGGTCCTGCTCACGCTGAGCGGCTTCGTCGAGTGGGTCAGCATCCAGCACATCATGTCCAGCAACGGCAAGCTAATGCACTTCCTTTGCATTCTGCTCAACGACAAAGCATTCCAATGCAACGCGGCCGAGTGTCTGGCGCAGATCACGAACCGCAAGGGCCAGGCCAAGGAGCGAAAGCCGCTGCTGCAGTTGTTTAACGAGGAGCCGCTGCGCTACATCTACCAGGCCAGCCAGATACCGACCGACTCCAGCTCCACGCTGGCCATCGAGCAGCACCACAACTTCCTCAAGAAGCTGCTGCAGGTGCTGAACGGCATGGCCCAGCAGCTGGTGGCGCTCTGGGGCAAGGACGACGCCACCCAGCGACCGGTGCATCTAGAAGTCCTTCTCGAATGCCTCCTGCTCCTCGTCCAGCATCCATCGCTAAGCGTCTCCCATGGGTCGGCGCTCATTTGGCAGCTGTTGCTGAAGCACGAGCCCTGCTCGAAGGACTTCGCTACGGTCAACTACATTCCCAAGCTCATCCACACGATTGCGCCCAGGATCGTGAAGCTGCCATATCCTGCCTCCACTAGCTCGCCTGCCAGCCTCTCCACTGAGGCCTACATCCGACTGGAGTACGACAGCGAGGAGGAGTTCGCCCTCTACTTCTTCCGCTGCCGCACCGACTTCCTCGAGATCTTCCGCCTAGCCACGCTGGTGCAGCCGCTGGTCACCTACGGCTACTGCGAACAGTGGCTGCAGCAGCGCCTTCGCAACGCGGTGGCCGAAGCGGATGCAGAGGCCAAGAGCGGTAACGTGTCGTGCAGCGTGCTGGACCCCGTCTACCTGGAATGGGATGCACTGGTGAGTGTGTTGGACGGCGTTCTAAGCCGCATACTGCTCGTTTCGGAACGTCCCTCGGTACCGGCTGGACTGCGGCTGCTCGAGGATTGCCTTAAACTGGAGACAATCAACCCGCTGATTTACTCGATTCTGCTCTCCTGCATTTCGGCCCTGTTCGTCTTCCTCAGCATGTCTGCGTGCCAGATCACGGCCACCAACTGTGTGGCAATGAGCGGCGTCAGTCTGTTGCCGCGGGTGCTAGACAAGATATTCCGAGCGCTTGTACTAAAGCCGCCCAACGAGTTGGAGAAGGTGCAGGCAAAGTCCGCCAAAAACCTTCGGCGCCACGCCGCTTCGCTGCTGGTGAAGCTGGCCCACAAGTATCCGTTGCTACTGCTTCCCGTGTTCGAGCAAATCAACGGACACGTGGAGCTCCTGCTCAAGGAGCCTGGCCAGCACCAGCTGTGCCGTTTGATGCGTACCACGCTGCAGGAGGCGCTGATTCTCATCTCGAACCACTTCTGCGACTTCGAGCGCCAGACTCTCTTCATCGAGCACATCGTGCAGGACAAGCGGTCCGAGTGGTTGGCCTTTGGAGATGCGCTGAAGTCGCCGCTGGCCTTCATGAGCTTCGTGGGCCTGGACAAGCCTCCCATCTTCGCCGTGGAGGGTGCGCCTACGCTCCAAAATCGGTCGCGCCTGCTGGACGCCCTGCATGTGGTGCTGGGCGTGGTTAAACGCTGCACCTGGCCAGACGACCCAGACCGCGCCCAGCGCGGCGGGTTTGTCATCGGCTGCACGGAACTGGGCAACCCCATCTGCCGAAATCCGGCCACCAAGCACGTCGTGCCACTGCTCTCGCACGTGCTAAGTCTGATGCGTGTGCTCAACGAGCTGTTTGCGCCGGAGGCTCTGCTTGCCCTCTCCGAGGGCTACCGCGGAATCCACGGGATGCTGGAGCACGAGAAAAAACTGCTCATGGGCATTTGCGCCCTGCCCACCGATCCGTTGGACACCACCATCCGCAGCGAGCCGACGGCCTTCGAGAAGATGCAGACTTTCATGATGATGGTCACCGAGGGCTGCTACCATCTGATGGGCTCAGCGGGTCCGTCGCTGGGTCGCGATCTATACCAGCTCCTGGGCCTGTCCGACGCCATCATAACAAATGTGTTTAGCCGAATGGACGTGGTGCCCGACTACCGGCTACGTCCGATCATTCGGGTCTTCTTCAAGCCCTTCGTCTACTCGTGCCCGCCCAGCTTCTACGACAGTGTTCTTGTGCCGCTGTTCGCCCACCTGGCGCCATTGATGTGCGAACGCCTTACGCGCCGCTGGATTTACATCGCCTCGCTCTACGAGAGCGGGCAGCTCAACGGCGAGGTCAACGACACCCAGGAGGTGCTGGAGGATCAGCTTAATCGGACGCTGACGCGCGAGTACCTGGACGTGCTGAAGATCGCGCTGGTTGGCGGCCAGATTGGGGCCGATCATGTCGCGGCCGGCGCAAATGCCAACAGCAACTCGGTGGCCATGGAGAACGAGGAGCACTCGATGGACAGCGCCCCACAGTCGCGGGCCAGCCAGTCGGCCTTGCTCTCCGACATTATCAGCGACTTGGGCGGAAAGCTGCTGCGGAACGGACTCATCGGCAACTACGTGCTGATGACTCTACTGAAGGCCATTGCCTGGAATGACGGCATGTGCAGCATGAAGGCAGTGAACATCGCCGCGCCAGTGATGCGCTTCCTGGCCGCCGAGAAGCTTATGGACGAGAACAAGGCAGTTACGGCCTTCACCGCCGTTCTGCAGGGTATGCAAGTGCACGGACAGCACGAGGCCAATCAGTCGGGCTTGGTGACGCTGGGCGTACAGTTCTATGAGCTGCTACGGCCCCACTTCCCTATCCTCAGCGAAGTACTGCAGCATATACCCAGTGTAAACGCGGCCGATATCCAGAAGTTCGACGAGAAGATCGCCGTGGCGCCCGTCAAGGGTAACAAGGTGGACCGCGCCAAGAAGGACATATTCAAGAAGCTCACCGCCCAGCTGGTCGGGCGCAGCGTTAACCAGCTGTTCCGACATGAGGTGCAGATCGCCAACCTGCCGCCGATGCAGTCGCACAAGGCCAAGGGAGCCATGGGCACAACCGCCGACATCATGGATAGCAATCAGAACGCGAGTCTGGCCAGGCTCTTTGGGCCGGAAAAGTGACAGGGACCGCAGCAGAAGCAGAAGCCGAATCAGAAGCAGACACACATACAGAAACAGAGGAGCAGGAGGAGGCGTCGCAACGGAGGCGACGCCACCAGCGACACGACCTCAGTCTTGGTCGATGACCAGGATCAGGAAGACGTCGAGACCACGGCCACCTCAGCTGCCAAACTAGCGACGACTGAACTTAAAGTAATTGTAAACTAGCTTAGAGACGATGTGCCCGCATTGAAGCTGGAGCAGCATCTCACGTCCTCGCCCGCTTCCGTGCCCATGCCCATGACCCAGTTCCAGTACCAGTTACAGTCACAGTTCCGATCAGATGTTAAAATTATTAATTTATTTATTTTACAAACTAAATTTAACTTCAGCATGTAACGATTTGTTTAGTTGCTCCGTTTCGATCCGAACCGACTTGTTACTGCTTTGTTATTTATTATTCGGAATTTGTTAATCTTGTTTGCACAAAGGAAGTAGATCCATCGATAATTGCCAATACTCCCACCCCTGACCCTGCCCCTCCCCTTGGCCCCCGCTGCAAAGCCAGAAGCCCTTTTTATACATAGTTAATGAATGAAATGTGCTGTCCCCCCGTTTTGTATAGTTACCTATGCGCAGGCATACTGTAATTTATATACATATATATGTACACATTTATCCTTTGAAGAAACATTTCTGAAATTACGCTTAGGCTTAGTTGATAGGCAACGAGTTATTATTATATAATACATCAAACTGTATATGAACACACATCCCGCACCGCATATGCATACGCATACCCAAAAAAAACCCAAAAAACAAAAAACACATCGGGATTCTAAGAATTATAGTTGCGCGAGTATGTAATATTCAAACTGAAATTATATACTATTATTTATAACTAAATGAAATCGAAGCGGGAGGACCCCGCAAAAACACAAAATCGAAATAAGCTAATAAATTTGAAATAAATTTACAAATTTAAAGATAAAATCGTTTTCGTTTTTGCAACTGGATTCTAAGTAATAAATTCATTTTGAATAAAATATTGTTTGTTAAATAATTCGTTAGATCTTTCAAAAGGGATTGAAAAATCCGTTGACTAAGAACAATACCGTTAAGCTTTAGTGGAAACACGCTGTAAGCTCAATTCTCGGTTATCGATAGACCACAGCGTCATCGATTGCTGCTTACCCATAACTTTGGTTTGGTTTACTTTCCAAATTAACCCGAATATAATCTAACAATTGTCTAGTCCCTAGGTGCGTAGAAGACCCATTAGCCAAAATGCCCATGTACGAGAGCGTCATGCAGGAGAAGCCGCCCATCGTCCTGGACATCGGCACGGCGTACACAAAGTGAGCGAGCGAGAACAAAACAAATGATGCGGTGAAGTCATCACTAACCCCTTTTCAGGCTGGGATTCGCGGCAGAGGCGTACCCGCGGAAGATAATGCCCACAGAGGTGGTGATGACCGCGACTGGGACCAGGAAGCGACTGTTCGACTACAGCAACCCAGAGGAGCTCTACGACCAGCTGGTGGACTTCCTGCAGACGATCTTCTTCAAGTAGGTGGCCCAAAAGCTGCTCCCAGCTGGGATTACATCCATATGCTTTTAGGCACTTGCTGGTCAGCCCCAAAGAGCGCAAGTTCGTGCTGGTGGAGAACGTGTTCGGACCCACTGTGCTCCGGGAGACCTTGGCCCGCGTGCTCTTTGTCCACTTCGATGTCTCCTCCGTTCTGTTCGTCCCCGTCCACCTCATCGCACTATCCACGCTAGCCGTGCCCACCGCCCTGGTGGTGGACATAGGCTACAGCGAAACGAGCATTATGCCCGTCTTCAGTGGGGTGCAAATCATGGCCGCCTTCAAGGACCAGAGCTACGGCGGCAGGGCCATCCATGCGGAGATCAAGCGCCAGCTGGTGGAGTCGGGCGTCAAGGAGAGCCTGCTGACGGAGAGCGTGCTGGAGGACATCAAGGTGCGGACGTGCTTCGTGACAACCATGGAAAGGGCTCAGGCCAGGTCAAGTGGTGGCCAGGATCAGCCGACTCCCGCGCCGGCCGTAGACTACATTGTCAGCGACAACGATGCGATCATCCAGGTGCCCGGCCTGCTGCGTGAGACCGTCTACGAGATCATGTTTGAACCCAGCAACGAGCGGGACAGCCTGCCGCACCTCATCCTGCGCTCCGTTCTCGACTGCACACTGGACGTGAGACGCGCCCTGGTCGAGAGTGTGTTTCTGGTGGGCGGCGGCTCCATGGTTCAGGGTCTGCTGGCCCGGCTCCGCCAGGAACTGCAGCATCTGCTCGCCGAGGATCCGTTCTACGCCGAGCGCTTCCACGGCGAGCTGCAGTTCAAGTTCTTCAATGCTATCGGCAAGCAGAACTTCACCGCCTGGCTGGGCGGCGCCTTGTGCGGTGCCACAGACCTCATCCAGACGCGCTCGCTGGTAAAAGAAACGTATCTGAAGAGCGAGCACGTCCCGGACTGGAGCAACCTGTGCGACAATAGGCCGACGGGATCGTAGATTTTGAAAAGAGAGATGCATGCTGCAGCTTTTCGCTAATTCATATTTACTTACTCATGATTGTATTGTATTATATAGGTTTAAAGTTTACTGCGAGTATAAAGTGTAAAAGAAATATAGGAAATCAAATACTAGAATGATCGGAATTGTAAATTTCAGGAGTCTTCTACTGGTCTTTGTCAAACGAAGTGCACCCAACTGAAACTGCCGATGACAACTAACCATAGGCTTAGTTGTTCAAAAATAAACAAATAAACTCTTGTCGAAAATCGGTTCAACATTTATTAGCGAGGGCAGACCCCCAAACAAATGTTACAAAATTGTTCGTTTACCTTTTTTAGTGGTTTCTTATTAAATAACTGGATCATGCACTTCAAAATTGAGTTTTTAATGGAATTTTTAAATTTTACAATACGTTCTCACATAGGCATGTGAAAACTCTGCAAGAAAGACATTCGCTGAATGCACATAGTTTCTCTAATCTCTAATGCATGTTAACTAAGGGACAAAAAGGTGTATCTGACGTATGCTATAATGGATGATTTGAATTTGTTTAATCCCATGTTGTGGTTGTGGTTCCTCCTCCTCCATATCCACTTGGGATAGCCGCACTTAGGAGCCCACGATGATGTTGTTAATGGGGATGTGTATCAGCTTGACGAAGAAGCCGATGAAGCCCATGATGCAGAAGCCCACGGCGGTGGCGATGGCGATCTTTTGGAACTCCTTGCGGTCGGGCTTGGTGCAGCGCTTGACCAGGCGGATGGAGTCCTTGGCGAAGGCGCGGCCGGGCTCGGCAAACTTAACAACCTTGTCCATGTCGTGTAGAGTGTGTCGGGTGCTGCAAGGGGAGGGGGAAGTGGGGATGAGTGAACGGATCTGATTTTCTGGTTTCAAGCACTTTCACGCAACGTCAGCTGTGACGTGGCTATATTTTGGTGACGTCGCAGGTGAAATATCTAGCGGAATTGTATTGTCCCGCCACCTTATCGGATTCTCAAGCATCCAGCCGAGGTCAAGGGTAAATAATCAGCATTAATAAGGGCCACCGAGGTCTTTAATTGCCCCCGAAGCGGAATTCGGTTTTATGTGGCCAGGGCCGAAAAAAACACAAATGGCCCGGGGAATTTGAACCTCTGCTGTTGCTTGGAACCGAGCCCTTGTTTATTCACTTATTGTTTCAATTGACAAATAGACTGGGAAACCAGCACACACAACGAACCTCCGCTTCAAACGAAAATTTCCAATCAAGTGGAATAGTGAAATCGAGTACACCCTATTGCCGCGTCGACCGATTTCCAATGACAGTTCCACGTCAAAGTGTCAAACGCCAGGGTTGTATTCCAGCCGAGCTGTCAGGTGGCAGGCGACTTTTCAGACGGTTTATAGCTAGATTTGGCTTTTTTAATTTTTTGGGATTTTGTCCAATCGATTGGCACTAAAATCACTATCCTTTATTTTCTGAAAATTTTTCGATAAAAAAGATGATGAAAAATGCAAAAATTGGTTAAAAAAATTATTTTCAAAAAAGTGATGTGGATCGTTAGCCTAGGTTGTATGCTATTCAAAACAGTCGGTCTTTTTGTTGTGCGCCTCGATTTGACTAAATTACGACTGAAAAACGGCTTAAAATAAACGATTCTTTCGTCCAAAAAATGCTACTGCCTATTTTTGCTCAAAAATTATCCGTTTTTTCGTCGACAAATTGCGAAATGGAGCCAGAATAAGGAATGTCATACCTCGTTGAGCTCGTAATCAAATTCCCAATCGATTGGCATTTAAATCTCAAAACTTTATTTTTTTTTAAATTTTCGATAAAATAGATGATGTAACCCCTTATGAAAAATGCGAAAATTGGTCAAAAAAATTATTTTCCAAAAAGTGATGCGGATCGTTAGCTTAGGTTGTTAGCTGTTCAAAACAGTCGGTCTTTTTGTTGTGCGCCTCGATTTGACTAAATTACGACTGAAAAACGGCTTAAAATAAACGATTTTTTCGTCCAAAAAATGCGTTTTTTCGCCGACAAATTGCGAAATGGAGCCGGAATAAGGAATGTCATACCTCGTTAAGCTCGTAATTAAATTCCCAATCGATTGGCATTTAAATCTCAAATCTTTATTTTTTGAACCTTTTTCGATAAAAAAGATGATGTTACCCCTTATGAAAAATGCGAAAATTGGTCCAAAAAATTATTTTCCAGAAAGTGATGTGGATCGTTAGCCTAGGTTGTTAGCTGTTCAAAACAGTCGGTCTTTTTGTTGTGCGCCTCGATTTGACTAAATTACGACTGAAAAACGGCTTAAAATAAACGATTTTTTCGTCCAAAAAATGCTACTCCCTATTTTTGCTCAAAAATTATCCGTTTTTTCGCCGACAAATTGCGAAATGGAGCCGGAATAAGGAATGTCATATCTCGTTGAGCTCGTAATTAAATTCCCAATCGATTGGCATTTAAATCTCAAAACTTTTTTTTTTTTTAAATTTTCGATAAAAAAGATGATGTTACCTTTTTTTAATGTAAAATACGTTGATATATTTTTAAGATCCCTTACCTACCACTTACGTGGCTCTTACGTTTGCTGACACTACGTTTGCTGCGGTGCAACAATTGCGCATACGTCTAGTGTTCCGATATATCAGGTGAAAAAATATCACGATATACGATAAATACCTATTTTTATTCAAAAATATCGATGTATTGATACTTGATTTTTTCCACATCCTTGAGAGTCCAGCCATCGGTACATCGATGATTCTGCACACCCCCGCGATGTCCTCGAACTGAACGGATTTGGGAGTCCAGCCACAGAATGTCCTCGAAGCAGTCCCCCGCCGCCGTTGCTGCGGCCGTGGCCAGCTGCAAACTGAAGAAGCAGCAGCGCCGTCGTCTGGCGGCCTTCGACTTTGACCACACGATCGTGTCCCAAAACACAGACACCGTGGTCCGCGATTTGCTGCCCACAGAAGTGACCAGCGCCCGCGCCAACGAGCTGGTGGAGAACGACTGCTGGACGGAGTACATGGCCGAGGTTTTCCGCCTGCTGCATGAGCAACAGGTGCCGGAGGCGCGGATCCGGGACACCATCCGGGGCATCCCGGAGGTGCCCGGATTCGTGCGGCTGATCAAGCACCTGGCCAAGCGGCTGCACTACGACCTGATCATCATCAGCGACTCTAACAGCGTCTTCATCGAGGAATGGCTGCGGGCGCACAACCTGGCCGACTGTTTCGTGGCCGTCTTCACCAATCCGGCGGAGTTCGACGCCTCCGGACGGCTTTTAGTCCGGGCTCACCATCAGCAGTCGGACTGCAAGCTGAGCGCCAGCAATCTGTGCAAGGGCCGCGTCCTGGAGCACTTTGTCATCGAGCAGGACCTGCGGCGCAGCATCCGGTACGACCATGTTTTTTACGTGGGCGACGGCAACAACGATATCTGCCCCGTGCTGCGGCAGCGGGCCTGCGACTTTGCCTGCGCCCGCAAGGGCTTCGCCATGGAGAAGCATCTGCTGCGCAACCGCAGCAAGTTAAAGCTGCGCGCCCAGCTGCTGATCTGGAAGAGCGGCTTTGACCTGATGGACCAGATGCTGGCCCTGCCGCAGCTGAAGACCCCGCAGCTGCAGGACGATGCAGATCAGGATGACGAAGCCGAGGCTCCTGACGTGGCGGCTCGGCGAGCATCGGCGGTGGCTCCCGGCTCGACCAAGTCGCCGAATTAGGAAGGCATTTAAGGTATACGCATTTGAGACCTCCACGAGTAAGTAGAAACGATTGCCATCGCAGAACCGTAGTATCACTTGTGTGTGGGGTCGCGAATTTTTTAGTACAGGCTGGTATAGAAGAACGCGAATTCTTTTGAGAATTCCTTAAACAGGCGAGTTGGAAAATCGAGATGTTGGATTTTTTGGTGATGCTTCGATGCTAATCATACGGTTCTACGATGCCAGGAAGTACTCGTGAAGGTCTTAAATCCACATCCCATGCACAACCCAATCATCATTGTCTCCCGGCTCGACCAAGTCGTCGAATTAGGAAGGCATTTAAGGTATACGCATTTAAGACCTCCACGAGTAAGTAGAAGCGATTGCCATCGCAGAACCGTAGTATCACTTGTGTGTGGGGTCGCGAATTTTTTTAGTACAGGCTGGTATAGAAGAACGCGAATTCTTTTGAGAATTCCTTAAACAGGCGAGTTGGAAAATCGAGATGTTGGATTTTTTGGTGATGCTTCGATGCTAATCATACGGTTCTACGATGCCGGGAAGTACTCGTGAAGGTCTTAAATCCACATCCCCATGCACAACCCAATCATCATTGTTCCATCATGTGGTCTGGTCTGTTTTATGTTTAATCCCCTCCCTCCCTTTACTGCACCAACTATGCCAAGTATGATAGGTGGATCTGTGTGCCAGGACTCTAACCTGCAGAAAACACATTGTCTCTCAAACAGTACAATTTCAGTGGTGTGTGCGCCAGTTCAAGGAGTCAATTTTTGGCTGCGGCTGTTAATGTTTAATCCATGTGTGTATATTGTAACTTGTTGTAATTGAATTTATCGCAAGCTGTATATGAGTGTCCATATTATATGCATTTTAATGTGTGTTTTGCCGTTACTGCACCCGATTGCCTTTTACTGGGGTTTCGAATGGGTGGAGGTGGAGTGGGTTGGTGAGTCCCAGCGCGGCCCAGAGCGGGATGGCAGCATGCCTGTGTGCCTTGGAAAGAGAGAGAGGCAGCCAAGAGATGCAGAAACTGCATCTGCGCATTTGCAATGTTTTTTTTAAGTACTATTTAAGGTATGCATCTGCATAGATCTCTATAAATTGTTTTAATACTTTATTTAACTATAAAGTTCCAAAAGATCTAAACCGTTTCTTAGGGGTTTTCCTTAAGTGGTAGGTAGCCAACAATAGATAGTGCAACCTTTATTTTTAAATACATCGTCTGCTTGAGGTTCTTTATTTGCTATCAGTGACAAACTTATCATAAACATTATTTTATCGGTACATATGTATAATTATATTACAGCTCTGCTTAGGTTACACAGGCAATCGCGTGCAAGCTTATTAAGTATATTATTCGGTAGAGCAGTTACCAGCAGACGGAGCTCACTCATCGTTGGCGCTTGCAAGGTCGCTTGTACGTTGTATTGTTGGATGCCGGGCCCTGGCAGACGCCTAAGCAATACTGAAAGGGCGCGGGTGCAGGCGCTTCCGTGCCTTGGCTGTCTAGGTGCCCAGCGGCGACATGCCGATCTGTTGCGGGGTGGCGCCCAGCTCCAGGTTCTTGAGCAGCATCTGCAGCCATTGCTTGGTGGACTTGTCGTCCTGCAGGCACAGTGCGAAGGTGCCGTCACGCAGTTGGTCCGGCAGACACTGGCCCAAGGCTTTGCGAGCGCTAGAAAGGGGAATATTATTTAGTGTTTAAGTTTATTATTTACAAACAGTACACCAATACGCACCGAGTGTTGTCCGAGAGGCGCAGATAGCAACGCACCACATGCTTGAGCAGACGGGCGCAGGGATCCTTCGACAACTGGATTACCATTTTGCCCTGAAACCGATCGATTGGTTAGTAAACCCATTTACTGGCCGGGAAATCAATACCTACCAGAGTGATGGCCACGTGCGAAAAGCGTTCGTAGGTCTGGCAGATGTACGACAGGCCGGACTCGTCGAGCAGTATCTTCTGGATGATGAAAGTGGCCACGGTCTTGCTCAGCTCCGAGCCGCTGTCCATGATGCTTAGACAGAGAGGCACGATCTCAGTGGTCAGCAGGAAGGTGATCACCTCCTGTTCGTCGGTCTGTCGGAGGGAGAAGAAAAACACATGCTATAAGCTACCAATAGGCCTAATAGCGTAGCTGCCCTTCACCCACCTTGACCAGCGCTCCAATGACACCCAGACTGGTCAGACGCAGGTACTCGAAGGGCCTGGTCTTCGAAGTGGTCGACAGAAAGGGGTACAAGTACAGCGGTATCTGGGCCTGCAGAAAGGCCGTGCGCGTCTCCGGATGCGAGGCGACGCACTGCAGCAGGGCCAGCGCGTTGCATACGCGGTTGGACTGGTGGGCCGTCAGTGTGGGCGGCGTTATCGAGGGGTATATGTTGACGATCTCCTGGAGCAGGGCGCAGGCGGTCCCGAAGCTGTTCCACAGCATGGGTGCCAGGTCGGTCTCGCGCTTCTTGCTCAGCTCCAGCAGAGCGGTCTCACGGGTGTCCGGGTGGGCCAGCTCGTTGATCCACTGGTAGACCTAGCGCAGAATGGGATTAGCACGTGCCATGGTAGGTCCGCACGCCCACTTACCTTCTCCTGCTCGCTCTGCTGCTGCTGCTGGGGATTCATGAGCGGGCTTGGCTGCGCACTCATCGCGACGTTTGTTTTTCGTAGAAGCTTGCGAGGATCTGGGTCTTCGCTTTTTGCCGCGCGTTCCGTCAACTAGCGGGAAATCAAGACCTACTGGGGTTTTGGCTCGCAAAATGGCGTCGCGTCGCTTGCACTTGCCGATGTTCCTGTTAATTGTTAGTTCGTGTCGGTTCAAGTTTAAAAAGACGGAATAGAAAAGAAAACAAGTGACGACTTGCTCGGATGCAGATTAGAGGTGGCAGCACGTCGATTTGGAGTTGTGAAATCATCGATGCCTTCAGCGACTATCGATGTTTCCGCCACAAATCTAAAAATATATTTATCATTTTGTGGGTTACCCCATGTAACTGAACACGCTGCAGCAACTAAATGTAAATTCGTGAAACAAAATTACTCTTTATTCACACTTTTTGAAATAAAATTATTGATAGATAAAAAGTTGATAGGTTTTGAAAAGAAAAGTAGAATACCGAACTGCTTGCCCACATTCTATACAATGATTCATTTTTCAATGACAAAAAAAATCAACCATTTTTATTTTTCACCTCATAAAAAGGAAACATAATAAGTCGTAACAGTTATTAATTCAATACAAATTAAGGTTTTTAATTTATAAAAATAATTTTTTTTTACATCAATGTTTTATCGATGTTTGCTTTGAAAACAACAATACTTCCGATATTGTGCGCGCTTTTAGAAAATACCACAGAAAAAACGATTTTCGGTTCAAGGGCAACTCTTAAAAATTCTTATTGGCGCCCTTTTTGATTTTCATTGAATCTACGTTCCAAGAAAATTTTTCACGATCATTTCCCTACAAAAACGTCTCGGTGTCCACAAAGGTGCGCGGTTCTCCGCCGGTGCACAGTCCGGGCTCCTCGTCAATTCCGACGTTGCACTTGGAGCACCTTTCCGGCGGAGTCTTGGCGCAGCAGAAGCAGTGGAACTTGTACGTCGATTTGTTGATGCAATACGGAGAATTATACGGTTCAAGACCGCACCTGCAGCAAACAGCGACCATGTTGATGACGAAAAACAGAAACTCGAAACAGGATCGAAAATACGCGCTGCGTTTTTTGGAAGGAAAATCTTACATCGCTAACGATAACTCTTTTCGCCGGAAGTACCAGCTCCCAAGTTTCCCACCTGGTTCGTACCACCACTAGGTGGAAAATACTAAACTAAGTATTAAAATACCAAATAACAGTATATAAATACTAAAAATCCCAGCGAAAATGCTGACCGAAATTCCCCAAAACCCGATAACCTTATCGACACATACACGGATTTTCATGTCGTGACGAGTACCTCGGAATCGGTAAGAAAAAAACATAAGCAGACAGGCGAAGCAGAGCATACCGTTTAATAATGAATGCATAAGAACGTTCGACGCGCGCCGAGAACGAGAACAGAACCCGTCTGCGTATGAATGCGTGCGTGCGGTGCGGCAAAGGTGTTGGATATTTTTTTGAGGTTTGCTCCGGCTTTAAATGCGTTGTCTTGTTGTACTACCATCGAATTCGAATCGTTAAAAGTGCGTGGAAAAGTGTACGAAACGAAACCAATACACGGAAAGTGGGACAACGGCGACCGAGAGCGCTCGTTGCGCTTGTCTGTGGTGTCCGTGTGTGCGTGTGTGTTGCCGTTGTGTGCGTGTGGCTGTGTCTGTGTGTGTGCACCGTCCGCTGGCCCTGCGAGTGTGTGCGTGTGCCTGCCTACTGCGGTCGAGTGCCCAGTGCTTCGGAATCGTATCGAAACGAAATGAATTGAAAAAGTGTGTTTTACTTCTCGCTAAAACGCCCAAAAACGAATAAGCACCAGAGCAGTCAAAGTGCATAGAAATATGAGCATGCCAATGCCAGCAAATCTGAAACGGAATCGGAATCGCGAATTGTGCACGCAAATCAAAATCAAAAGCAAACCCAAAACCAGGCGCTCTTGCTCTTCTACTCCATCTTCTTTTGTCTGACTCTGAGCGACGACTTTGCCGCATGGTGAGTTTGCCGTTTGCTTGTCGCTGCCTCGTTATTGTTGTTGTTGCTGCTGGCGTCGTTGTTGTCCAGTGCATAGTTGTTGATATTGCGCTATGCGCCCTGAGCGCCCCCCTTTAAAAATCGTGAATGTAATAATAATAATGCAAGATAGATGCTTGCATTTTGGGCAGTACATACACATATACACAGGCCAGCCAACCCGTATGTAGTACATATATGTGTGTGTGTATTTTCTCCATGCAGCGGCGACTGCTGTGGTGGGTTTGCAAGCCAGTGTGGTGAATTCGAGCCGTGCGCGTTCAGTGTTGCCAACACACATTAAAAACAGGCCATAATTCGTGGCGGCGCGGCTTTCTCAGTACTTGCCTATTCCGCTGCTTCGCTCTTCCCATCTTCGCTTCCTCCTCGTTCTCCTTCTCCCCATTCGAATCGACAGCTGTGTGCGCATGTTTGTAGCGCTTATTATTTATTAAGTGTTGTTGTTGTTATTCCGCTCGGAGTTTTTCGCGGCATTTTCGAGCGATAGTTTTTCACCGCCCAAAAAGCGAATCGGATCGGAAAATTGGAATCTGGCTAAGGGAGCCTCCCCTTTGGACACAATTGGAGGAGTAATAATTTGGCCATGTGCTAAAATTAGATCCCTAACTTTGTCCGGCTTTTATTCAATTTTCTTTTATTTCTTCAGGCTCCAAAGCGTGTGCATGTGAGTGTGTTTCAGTTCCTGTGTGTGCGTGTGTGTGTGTGTAGGTCGTTCCCCTTTCATTTTGTCTCTTCTCAATCTAAACAAAATCCCTCCCTTGGGCCAAATATACAGAATGTATGTGGGATATTCCTAGGATTCGGTGATATCTCCACTTATAATGTAAATTTCTGCGAATTGTTGCCATAACTGCTATGTAATGAGTAGTTCTAGGGTACTTTGCCTTAGATGTGCTAGTAATTACAAATCAGTTCTCCGAATATAAACATACTGTAGTATCAAAATCGTTCCCTTTATAACACTCCAAGACACTATAGTGGATAGAATACTATAGTTCTAGGGTATTCTTCCTTAGAAGTGCTAGTAATTGAAAACCTTTTCTCTGAATATAAACATGCTGTGATATCAAGCATTTTCCATTATAAAACTCCAAGACACCGTCTAAAGAACCTCCCCTTTCCTCGTTTTTCAGGCTGGCGGCCACAGGACAATCGAATATAGCAATGAATGATTTACGTCAGCAGCAGATGGTAGCAGCGACATCGTCATCAGGATCGGAATCGGGAACAGCGGTAGAATCGGCAGCCGCCACGTCTACAGCAGGATCAGCAGGAGCAGCAGGTCGCCTCCAGCCCAACTGCAACTCAAAGTCAGTGGCAGCGAGCAGCACGAGCGAGGAGGAGCAGCGGGTTAGCTCCACGTCGTCGCCAGCCCAGCGGGATCAGCAGCTGAATGCGGATCAAGAGCGGGATCAGGATCAGGATCAGGAGCAGGAGCCACAGCAGCAGCAGCGCGAGGGGGCACTGCAGCATCAGCACAACCAGCCCGGCCATATAACCAGCACCACAGCGTCGCCTCCGCCGACGCAGCCGCCTCCGACGACGCCGTGCGACGATGCCCCAAGCACAACTGGAGCATCTGCATCTGCATCGGCCAGCTCAGCATCCGGAGAAGCACCAGCGGGAGCAGCGGGTGGAGCAATGGCTGCCACGGCGATCACGGTAGAGGGCGAGGAGCGGGACGGGCACAAGATCATCCTGAAGCTCTCCATGCACTCCAGCCCCAACTCAAACCCAAATGAATCTCAGCCGCCGGGCGATGAGAGGCGCGTGGAACCCCTGCGCATCCATCTGCCCTGCAGCGGCGGCGGAGGAGGTGGAGAAGGAGGCCTGGTGGCCAAGCCGCAGGACGCCTTCGACGCGGACGCCTCCTCCTGCTCCTCATCGTGCGCCGAGGACGAGGTGGCCAGCACTCTCGGCCAACAACTGCGGAACACCCCGCACATAGTGCCAAAGCTGACCATCCGCGCCGCGAACGAGAGGCGCGTGGGCAGCGTGGTGCCCAAGCTGACCATCAAATTGCCCGAAAACCCGGCTGCCTCTGGCTCCAACTCCAATTCTGGGTCGTGCTCGTCGGCAGTGAGTGGCGGAGTCCAGTCGGCGATGCCCGCCAAGAACGACGCCCACTTGTCCAGCCTTTCCCCCGCCTCCGCCTCTTCCTCTTCAGCCTCGTCCTCCTCCTCTTCGTCGTCGTCGTCCTCTCTGGCGGAGATGCAGACGGTGCCCAAGCTGATGATCAAGACAACGCTGGCGGGAAGCAGCTGCATCAGCAGCAGCGAGGAGCATCCGCACCAGCAGCAGCAGATACCAAAGTTAACCATCAAGACGGGAGGCAGCGGCGGCGGTCAAGAGCCCATGCACACGGTCATTATGACGCACGACCTGACCAACGCCCAGAGCATCCCCAAGCTTACCATAAAGACGAAGTCCATCGAGCTGCTTGAGGACGAGCCGGCGGCCAAGGTGGAGCCGCAGCAGCTGCAACCCCTGCCCAAGCTGACCATCAAGAACCTGTGCTCGCCCAAGCACAAGGTGCGTGCGGTGCTCGAGGAGAAGCCGATATCGGCGACTTCCAAGCTGGCAGTCCCGAAGCCCACGGCGGCCAATCCTACGCCGACGGTGACGAACGCTCCGATGACGAATGGCGGCGAGTCGAACAGCAGCAGCCAGGAGTTCTGCGGCTTCTCCGACCCGGACGCAGATACGGCAGCGGCTGCTTCGGACGAGGGTCGCCGCAACTCTGACGACATGGTAATCGACGATTCGCTGTCCAAGGGGCACGACCCCAAGATGTTTCACAACCTGCCGCCACTGGCCGCCAGCAATGGTATCGCCAGCGGTGCGAGCAAGATCAACAAAGCCGGAAAGCCTGCCCAGCCGCAGCACAACGTGGTGGACATGGTAGACCTGACGTCGTCCCCGTCGCCTGGCTCTTCGCCCGCGCATGTACCCAACAACTTTACGGGACGCATTTCGCCGAACAACCTGCTCATCGAGTGCCTGCGTGCGCAAGCTGCACCTGTTAATTTTACCACCCAGCAAACTGCCTCGCTCAGTTCAAACATCCTGCTTAGCCAGCTGACGGCGCCGGCTAAGGGCTTCACCACGGCCACGCCGCAGAGCAAATCCAGCAAGTATCCCCAGCTAACCGAACGCCTGATGGCCAATGGTGGCGTTAGCGGCGGTGGAGGAGGATCTGTTGTTGCGGCAGGAGGCGAAACGGCCGTTGGTCCGCAGGCCTCCGCGAATCCTGCGCAACCTGCCATCGAGTCTATCGAGATCTTGGACACGCCTGATGGCAGTCCGAGGGTTCCCTACATGGACGATGAGCACCCCCTTCCGTTGTTCAACAACCATCACCAAACCAACCGCAAGCATGCCGGAGCTCTCAGTGACGACCAGCACTTGGAGGACCAAGAGATGCAGGAGCTGGACAACAACAACGAGAACCACTTAAAGCGCACCAGCAGCGAGGGCAACGAATCTCCAAGTAGTGGCGTAAGATTTAAATGCCGATGCCGAGTTTCTTAATAGCTGTATGTTTTAATATTATTTTACCCGCCGCAGATACCTCCCAACAAGCAGAGACGAATGGACAATGACGAGAACGACCAGCAGACACAGAACTGTCACGATCCCGCCAGGAAGTGCAATGCCAGTCCCGGCGAATCGCTGCAGGCGCTGCCGCCGTCACATCGCTCGCGCAAGCAGAAGCACGAGCGCATTCTCAACACGGACCTGGAGGATGCTCTTTTTCCACCCACCCAACAGCATGCGATATCTACGCCGGACCAGAATGGAGCCCTGTCCTCGGAGGTCCAACTGGACGACGCCAAGGCCCAGGATCCGCTGGAACAGCCGCACACTCCGCTCCCGCTCCCGGTAGCTACGTCGGCGGGCACGGGCAAGAAACGGGGGCGTCCGAAACGAATTCAGAACCAGAGCACAGTCGAGTCTGCCGGGGCCATTGCCGCAGTCACTCCCAAGCCCGACACTCCACAGGAGGAGGCCAGTAGCGCTGTCAAGTCGCGACGCGTACAACTGCTACGCAAGCGATTGGCCATCGATATGGTTAGCGTGAGCCAAGCACTGAAGGACGCGGCGACGAAGAACTCGTCCTTGTGCGAGCCAAATGCTCGGATAATCGACGAAGAACTTCCCGGTGCGCTGGAAACTCCCAAAAGTCGCGACCACCGCCAGCTGAGAGCCACGCGGCGCACCACGACCCACAATCCCAGCCCGAACGCTAGCCTGCAGCCTACTCCCAAATCCACGCGAAAGCGCCAGAGCAAGGCCAGTGCCCAGCATAGCCAGCTGGCGCCGCCGCCGCCGGCGATGCCTCAGTTTGGTATCTTGGAGGCCGAGTCAAACAACAACAACAGCAGCAGCATGTCCTTCGCTCTCACCGCGCAGATTGACCTAACCATGTGCTCGTCCAGCTCGTCGACTTCCTCGGGCGCTGCCGCCAACCAGCAGGTGATCAGCGGGAGCGGCAGCAGCTCCATGCTGCCTCCGACAACTATTCTGTCTTCTTCCGACCCGCTGCCCGATGTCATCTTCCAGCCAAACGATTTTTCCTCGATCATGGCCACCCAACAGCTGCGCTCCCCGCGCCCCTCAAGCATCAGCGGTGGCAGTGCCGGCGGTAGCCAGCAAGATTCACACGATGAGGACAACTACAACAGTGCGCTGGACAACTCCGGAGGTAAGAAATTATTGTCTATATCCTGGCACATCTAATGAAACGCAAACAACTTTTCGCAGACGAATCCGTCGCGACGTTACCGATGCTTTCGATGGCAACTCCGACGCGAGGACGCGGACGTGGCAGGGGATCCAGGGGAGGCGGCCGCAATAGAGGCTCTTCTTCGGCAGACCGAGCTGCCAGCGCCGGAGGCGGAGGCACAGGGTCCACAACACCAACTACGCAGTCACGGGCGCCGCGGATGAGCCGTGGAGCAAGCGCCGTTGCCAAGGCCATCGCTATGAGTCGACCGCGCTGCGTTGGAGGCCTGAAGCACCAGCCCGATCCCGAGAGACTCAAAGGCTTGTTCAGTCCGGTAAGTGTGAGACTGCGTTTTACGGATTGATTTTAGTAGTACGACTTGTGTAGTCATTTTTTTTTAAATAATCTGAAAGTTTGATTTTAATTTATATAAATCTAGTTATTCTTGTATTCGACTCGTCGAGAGTGCTATAAAAATTGTTGAGAACGTCGTTGGTTTCTTTTAAAACATGTAAATAAAAAGGGCTACTAGTTAACTGATCATAACTGGTTATAAATGAATGCCTTAAAGCAAGCACAAGACTAATTGTGTTGATAAAAACCAACGAGACACTGTAGTGGCACCACACGCCATGCTAACTCGTTACTCTCATGTTGCGAGTAGCGGGAACGGAAACGAGAACTGCAGTTCTCGCTATCACAAATATGGGGCATCTTCGTGTTGAAGATGGTCAGTACAGTTGGGGCTTCTATTGTCGCTTACAATTTCCATTACATTGCCTTCTTGTTTATGTTTCGTTACGTAAATTTGCCCACATACCCATACAAACTCATTCGCAAACACACACAGTGAGGGCTAACGTGTCGTAATTAAAAACAAAGGCGCGCGCCATGTAGTGAATTCATTGCCAACGGCCTGCAGTAGCGGATTGGTGATATGGGGGAGGGGGAGCAGTGGGAGCTAAAAAAGAAGCAGCTGCGAACTGAGCGGCGCAGTCGCTGTGATTGTTGTTGGCTTCACCTGCGATTTTAATCAGCTGAAGTTTTTGTTTGGCTCTCGCCAATCGGACATGCGTGTGTGTGTTCGCAGACGGTTGTCCACCTTCACCACACCTGCTGCTGCTGCTGTTGCAGTCGCAGTCGCAGTCGCAGTCACTCTCTTTTTCGCTCTCTCTCGCCGAGCTGCGAGCTCTTTCAGTGAAGCTTTGCGTGTGCATTTCGTTGAGAGCTGGCAACTCCGCTCGGCGTCTTTGCGACTGCAGGTTTAAACATGTGCGAAAATCAAACTAATTCTTTAAGCTGAAAGGATTATGAAGGATATTAATGCAGCAATGCAATAATATTAAGCAATTATTTTAAAGCATCTAAAAAATGTTTTTTTTTTATTTATATTGGATCGATAATGGCACAGCTACTTCGCTTAAACTTCATTTATATTAGAACCAAATAAATAGAATCTGTTAAAATAAAATAATTTTTTTTCAAGAATAAACTAAAAAGTGGAAATAAGTTTAATTCAAGCATTTTAATAGAAACGGAAATAGGCGCTAAGTACATAGGGTAAACCCTTTCGAATAGGTGTCGAATGCTATCCCCTATATTTCGTGCGTTGTTGTTTTAATAACCAAGTTTCTGAAGACTATTCGATCTTGAGGAATGTATTTAAGATTTATTTTTGTTGTTATCCGTTAATTTCTTCAGTCGCCGCAAGTGTTTGAGGAGGACACGCGTATGAGCGCGGATCTAAGCAACAGCAGTCAGTCCATGACCAGCCTAATGGAACCTCCGCTAACGCCACAGAAGTAAGTCTCCGATTGGGCATGCCATACAGGCACCATTTTAAAGAAATGATTCTCCCTTCTGCAGGCAACCCGACTTTCTTAACAACGAGGAGTCACAGTCGTCCATGGTGAGCAATGTAAGCATGATCGACTCGAACCAGGGTCAGTCCGTCGACGCTATTCTGGGCTCAGCGCTCAAACGTCCAAAGAAAAAAAAGATGGAAATTTGCGTGGCCGAAGAGTAAGTGCATCTCCATAAACCCATTACATATCGGGTCTAACACTACATATCCGTCTACAATTTCAGCACGGACTACAGCGCCTCCAGCATTGCGGAGTACGACTGGCCACCGCCCAAAGGTTGCTGTCCTTCGAAAAACCGTGACACCTTTATGATTCAAGAGCAGGTGGCCCTCTATTTGGGCATCACGAGCTTCAAGCGCAAGTACCCGGATCTGCCACGCCGCGCCGTCGACATGGAGGAGCGCAATTGGCTGCAGGAGAAGGGACTGGTCAGCGAGCGGATGTGCGACCTGGGCATCACCGCCGTGTGGGCATCCGACATCCTGGACATTATGTACGCGGACTTTTACGATAAGTATGAAGAGTATAAGGAGTACATTCGCCAGAAGCACTTGCGCGAGATCGAGGCTAAGCAGAAGGCTCTGGGACTGACGGTTGGGGCAGGAAAAGGTCTTCAAGCGCGTGACCGTGCCATGCTATCGGCTAGCAAGTGGAACGTTTACTTCAACAAGACGTAAGTTATATTCTTGCACTGCTTGCAGGGCAAAGGCACAGCTTTCTAATGGCCCTATCTCTTTATCATGTTCACGTAATCAGCCGCAAGGATGAGCGCCAGGTCTGTCTGGATCTGCAGACATTTACGATAAATCAGCCGCTGCATAGGACGGCGCCCACATCCACCTGCCTACAGCGCTCTATTGTGAATGTGGTGCGGGCGGCGGCGGAAGCGGAAAATGTGCCGGAACCGCCCACTCTTCTGCCGCCCCGAGTCTACGACGAGGCCTTCCGCGACTCGGACTATGCCTATCCGCTTACGGTGGTGCCGGACCAGTTCTCGTTGGCCTATCGCCACTTCGAGCCCGCCGAGCTACGGTAAGTCGTCTCTTTCGCAGACTTTCTATTGTTTGGCACTCTCTAGTAACAATTCCCTTTCTGCAGAGCCTATCCACTGGACACGGCACTGGATGTGCCTGCTGATGTGATGGCGCAGCTGCTGCAGGGACACAACGAAGCTTCTGGCAGTGAAGAAATAAAAATGCCCGCCTCGGCCGCCAAAGATCTGGGGCAAGAGCCGTCTGCGATCAAGACCCAAATGGCAGCGGCGCCCATTCGGCGCAGCAGAAGATCGGCACGGCAGCAGACGGACAAGGTCCGCACGGCCAGCAGCTCCAGCACTTCCTCCGCGCAGTCGCTCTCATCCGCATCCAGCGGCAACGGAAGCAGCAGTGATACGGTACGTTTGTTGTGCAGTCCTTATGCAAAATATATTTGTATATTTATATATTAAGTTGTTAGACCAGATTTAGTAATCGCATACCATTTTCTGTTTGTATTTTAGGGCAGCGGCGATGAAAGCGACTCTAGCAGCAGCTCGAGTTGTTGCAGTTCGACCGGTGCCTCGAGTGGAGCTGGCAGCGAGGATGAGGATGAGAACGAGTCCTCGCCGTCAACCAGGCTGTCCAACTGCGGTGTCTGCCTGCGCAGCCAGCATCGCAATGCTAGGGACATGCCGGAGGCCTTCATCCGCTGCTACAGCTGCCGAAGGCGCGGTAGGTTATCCGCCAGCCGTTGCTTCGCTTCCGTGCTAATATCTGTTCCTTCTTCACTTTATAGTCCATCCCAGCTGCATTGAGATGCCCCAGCGTATGGTGGGTCGCGTGAGGAACTATAACTGGCAGTGCGCCGGCTGCAAGTGCTGCATCAAGTGCCGGAGCAGTCAGCGGCCAGGAAAGATGCTCTACTGCGAGCAGTGCGACCGAGGCTACCACATCTACTGCCTGGGTCTCAAGACGGTGCCGGATGGTAAGTGTAACATGCTAATAAGTACAAGTATCAAGTAGCCAAGCATAACTCTTTTTATCAATTACAGGACGCTGGAGCTGTGAACGGTGCTGTGTGTGCATGCGATGCGGAGCCACTCGGCCGGAGGGTCTGCCCCACGTGGCCGCCCTGTCCCAGGCCTCCGCGGGACCCTCGCCCAACGGGGACCGATCGAAGGCGTTGTCGCGCAGCAAGCGACTGAAATGGGTGCATGAGTACAGGTTTGACCACTTAACAAAGCTGCGGGAGCATGCCGCCATGTTCTGCGTGCCCTGTGCGCGGAGCAAGCCTCCCAAGCGGCAGCCAGCGGAGGCGGCGACGACCGTGACTGCGACTGCGACAGTCGCCTCCTATTCGCAGATTGTGTCCACAAGCACGGATGCCAGTCCGATACCAAGTCCCGGCCTGACGCTTAATGGAGACCGCGCTCTCTCACCGGAGGCGGCGGCTTCACTGAGTCCAAAGGCAGCTGTGCCCGTTTTGGAGGCGTCGTCGTCATCGTCGGCGGTGACCACAAACATGGCGGGAACGATGAGCAAGCGGCATCCGGGGAACTCGGTCAATATCACAACGATGCAGTGCAGCAGCAGCACCTTCAGCGGGAACGGGGTCTCTGAGGATGCGGCGACTGTCGCGGCCACGGGAGCAACGGCCACTGCGGCAGCAGGAGCTGGATCTGGAGCACCGACGGCCACGCCCATCGGCATAGCTCCGCCTCCGGTTGTTGCCTGAGTGGGGGTCATACGTTATTGTGCCAAGCGCACTCTAACGGACTTATAGTAAGCGCCGGGCGCGCCGCCCTTTCCCAGAACCCCGCCCCCACTATCCCAAAAACACACAGATGCATAGTATTAATGAATGCGACAGGAGGAGGAGCCGTAATGAGAAACTATTTAAGGATTTTTTTTTACTATCATTATTCTTTATTGTCAGTACATCGTATTGCGATTGTTTTATATATATATATATGAATATTCCTATTATAGTTATGTTACTTAACTTTGCTAATGTTAACAACCAAACGACATAAAAAGAACACACATGACAAGCACCCAAACACCAAGTAGACCACGTTATGCTTAAGTCTTTTACGCCTAATTTGAGTAGCCTAGCACCTAAGTCAGAACTTCAATTTGTTTCTAGAGAATTCATTTGACGCATTTTAGTTCAATTGCGCGCAATTGCCTTCAGATTTCAGTTTTTATCGAAAGAGAGAGTGCTGTCTGTATTCCCGTGTCCTTGGAGACCTGTCCATGTCTGTAGGGCTTACTGTTCCGTGTTACTGTTTACTTTTCAGTCGAAATAGTGTCTTTTTCTCAGCCTCTAAGTCTAAGCAACTTTATACTTGTGCATCTATATCTTATATATACACACACGCAAGTGGGTCCCCCATTTCTTGATTTTAAATGTCTTATGCGCCGAATTTTTTTGAACATGTATATGTATGTATTTGTAAGAACTACAGCCCTGTAGCCCATGTAAGTAGTTAAGCACAACCTAAGTAGTGTCTTCATGTGCGGTAGCGGCTTGGTTTTTTTTTTCGTTTAGTTTCAGTAGATTCGTAAGCGGAAAATGGCCTTCGTTCGATCGAAATTCGATGAAAGCCAAGTTCTACTCTGTAATTGTACGGCTAAGAATGTATTATAAATGTAATTTATGCTAACACATACCCCACAATCGAACCCACACACACCACAGGCAAACAAATTCTATATATATTTATATATTACCTGTAACTATAAGATAAAAGCACAAGAACAGATACAATTTTGGAATGCGAGGATCGGGAGAAAGCAAAGATTGATTTAAAAAGAAAACCATGTGTGAAATAATATTAGGATAAAACACAGTTCTGGTACCGCCGCAGAATATATAGGTAGCGATAAGTCTAAGTTTTCGGTCTACTTAACAGAAAGTGGATATACGCACGGGCCCAGCTGCAGACGCTGGAGAGACCCCGGCGGTAATCTACTTTTCCATGGAATTTAAAGCTTAAGTCCTTATTAAGTGAAATTATTCTTATGTATACATACTAAAAGATTTATTTTTAAGTCGAATAAAACAGCAGCATTAATAACCTGGCCTTACACAAACACTAATCGACGACTTTGGGCACCAGGAGCTGCTCCAGCTCGTGGCCGTCGCGCCAGGCCAGCACGGAGCAGGCGAGTTCCGGTCCGTGGGCGGCCAGCTTCCCGTGCAGTTCGTATCCGCGCCTGATGCAGGCCACGTCCTCCTCCCGGAGCCGCTTCATGGCGCACAGATCGTTGCAGCTGTCGCCCACATAGACCACCCGCCGGTAAAGTCCGCTGCAGATAAGCTCCTCCAGCACGGAGCCCTTGCAGAGATTCGAGGGGCACAGCTCACAGTCGGCCTGCTCCTGGTAGGGCAGCACCAGAACCTCGCCGCTCGCCTGGACGCAGGCGGGATTGGTGAACACGCCGGTGAAGAGGCACTCGATGGCGTACTCCCGCAGCCACTCGCCGATGAAGAAGGAGTTGGCATCGCTGACGATGCACAGATCGACCGCAGGGTTCCTGGCCAGCCGCCGCACAACTCGCAGCATCCCCGGCACAGCCTGGAGGCGGCGCACACGCATTCCCACCGACGCGGAGTCCACCTTGTGCTCGCTGTGCAGCAGCTCCAGCACGCGACCGATGAAGCCCAGCCAGCCGCACTTGGGGATCTGGTCCTGCAGCTCCTTGCTCTGGCCGATGGGCAGCAGCTGGCTCACTGCCAGATAGGAGTCCTCCTGCACGATGGTCTTATCGAAATCGATTGCGGCCAGGATGCGGGGCCCGGGCGGACTGGATTGGCTTAAGCACCGTCGAAAGCCCGAAAGGTAAGTGCTTAACCGGAAACTCCTCGAAATTGCAAACATTTTGGTATGGAAAACAAACGATTTTGACTTTAATATCAATACACACTCATTTACATACAGTACATATATCTTATATGGGTCAACAAAGCACATCAATATCGATAAGGTAATGCCCATGTCTGAGTGTCCAACGAAGTTGACATTTCGGACACTTCCGCTTCCGGTTGCCTTCGGTTCACAATCTCCAGTTTCTTGGTCGACCATCTCAGACATGACTTAATGGCGGATAAACTCTTGATTATAACATTAATTGCGTAAATTTAGATATTGTCATTGAAAATATTTTTGGGTTTTCCTTCGTTTTGCGTAAAATGCTTTCCAAAAAGGTTAAAATATCTAAAATACATTTATAGTGTGTGTGTTGGTAACATGCAAAAAGCTATGCAAATGCATATGGAACAGCAAAAATCGATTTTTGTATCATGGTTTCCAACAAATGTGGGTGCAATATATGCACTTAAGTGTATAATTAATTATATAGGCAAATATACATATATTGGCTAACTATTTAAAATGAAACAATATTATTTTCAAGTTGCAACTATAAATAAAACTACTTACTAACCTTTCAGTTTTGGTTTCACAAAATTCCACTTAACCCGAATTGTCAATGTTTGTATTGCCTTTTGGAAAGAATTATTTACTCTTTGATTATTTCTCATTTTAAGAAAAGTGATTTTTGGCGAATTAATTTCATACGAAGTTGGTTTCTGAGATATGTTAGTTTACATTTGATTAACTATGGGAAGTCCATCGAAAACAAGTGTCCTGTTGTATTATGCTAGCTTCGATAATAAGTTTATAACCGATTCGAGATCGTTTTCCCAAGGGGGTATTATTAGGTATTGTTATGGGTATGCTTTTTAAAGATCTCAGATTGGTGGAGATTTTCAGCAATGCAATAATGCGTTTTATAGCACAGGACAACAAAGTGAGACTTTGTTAGGTAGGAAACTATGTAACTATAGGGTAATCTTAAAACAATTCCAACATTACATATTTAATTTAACATGTGGTATATGAGAAACCTCGATGTGCATAAAATCACTCGAGGTTGATTTCTTTAAAGGCGGGGTTTCAAAGATGTCACACGTTAGAAACCAAAGCGTATAATGCAATTGTCCTTAGATTGGACTATATTAACACAATTTAATACCCTTCCAGTCTGGTTCAATACTCCTCTCAAGGGACTGCAAACACCGCTCAAAGCCGTGGCTTTAGTCGAGGTGGGCGATTGCCGATCTGCGTTTGATGGGCATCCAGTAAGCCCGCAACTGGTGCCATCTCGTTCTACTTCGTGCATGCTGCACCTAAACCGTGGTCTGCACGTTCTGCACGGCCTTCGAGAGCTCCACCTTGGAAGGTATTAGGTAAAATGCAGGCGTCATCGTCTCCCCGCACGGACACTTGCAGGCTGTAACAGAAGGATGAGAATAAACAAGGATGTCCTGGGCTTGCAATGCCGTTTAACCAACCGTTGATCCAGCTAAAATTTCCCAGTTTCTGCTCACACTTGGGACAGTAGAGTCGGCCCTGGGTGTTCAGCATGATGCGGTGCATCCAGGAAATGGGCTCCACAAACAATATGCTGCGGCAATAGTTTGGCGTGCCCTCATGGCCGGGCGAACCGAGCGACGACTGGCGGATGCGCTCGGCCAGCTGCTCCAGCATCCGGGGGCCACTGGGATTCTCGGCCTGATCTTGCGACTGACCCTGGCCAGCGGCTTCTTCCTTCTCCTTGGGGACCACCTCCTGCGGCGGCCTGTCGCGCGGCTTGTGCTCCAGCACGTGCGATTTGGAGGCCAGGACGCGGCGGCAGCGACGACAGCGAAACACTATCGGCTCTGGGTTCTCGCGCGTGATATCCGGGTCCGGACGGACAACGCTGTGGAAGCTCTGCGGCAGGATCTTGGCCTTGCGCATCTGCTCGCCGGCCAGGCGCAGGCGGTGGATCTTGTAGCGCTGGCAGTTGGGGTCTATCTTGCAGCCCATGCGCCGGAAGAGCTTTAGCTGGCTGACAAATCCGGCGTTCGGCTGGACAAAGCGGCGCTTTGCCTTGACCAGCTCGTAGGCGGGCAGGAAGTCCAGGTTGTGGCGCTTCATCATGTAGGCGATGACTGTGGAGGAGCTGCGACTCACGCCGAAGTAGCTGTGGACAGCAAGGAGGGTAAGTGGATAGAGCAGTGTTTGTTGTCAGTCTAGGATGCTTACCAGTGAACCAAGACGTTGCCCTGCTGGGCCAGTGCGGCGCTGATGAAGTCCACGCAGCCCTCCAGATGCTGCAGAATGTCCTCGCGCGGCATGTCGGCGACTGAAACAAGGGACTGGATTGATGCATCACCCGCGGAGCTACTGATTAATCGGCTTACTCTGGATGTACTTGGTGGTCAGAAAGCTGGCCTCCAGGATGTGCTGCGGCAGGGGAACCGAGTCCAGCGTGAGGATGTGCGTGATCTTGAAGGAGCGCAGCGTCTCCATGTGCGTGGCTGCTGTGAGGTTGCCTACGTGGGCGAAATGAAGGATGTTGAAAAATCCATGGAGCGAAGCAGAGCAGAGCTTCTTACCCAGAAACAGGCCCGTGTCCACCTCGTCGATGCTGACGGGTCCGCCGTCGAAGTCCTCGCGTGTGAGTACGCCAGAGTCCTGGGGCTTGCCACCTGCCGTCGAGGAGGAGGCTCTCGCATGGGGCTGCTGCTCCATATCAGGCAACAGATACGATACCAGCTGGAAGGACCAAACTGGAGCTGCGTCAGCCACTCACGAAAGTATCGATGTATCGAGTATTCGGAAATAGCGCTGGTAAGCTTTTGCAGTCCTTGAAAGTTCTGTACTCCATAAACCGGCATAAGGCTCTCTTTTCTTAATCCCCTTTAATCTTCATTCAAAATACACAACTTGTTTTTAAATAAAATGTGTTAAAAATAGGTAACTTAAAAAAATTGAATATTTAACCAGCTAGTGTGACCGTAGCACCACGGAAGCTCCAACGGAAATTCCGTTCACAATGGAATCGATTACTTTGTATTACTATCGGTGTTATCGATTGTAGCAGTGCCGGTGGATTAAGATTTGGGTGGAATAGTGCAATAGCAGCAGGATTTGGATTGGGTCCATAGAATATCAAATACAGACACGATGACCACGTTGAGACCCTTCACCTGCGACGACCTCTTCAAGTTCAACAATGTGTGAGTAGCCAACGGGTACTCTCATCCGCCTTTGCTAATGGCACTTCTGTCTCTGGTGCTCTACCAGAAACTTTGACCCCCTTACGGAGACCTACGGGCTGTCCTTCTACACCCAGTACCTGGCCAAGTGGCCGGAGTACTTTCAGCTGGCGGAGTCCCCCAGCGGTCACATAATGGGCTACAGTAAGTGCCGCATAGAATTGCTCTTGGAGTCCCTCAGTTTGTGAGTGTTTATTTTATTAACCTCTTGCAGTAATGGGCAAGGTGGAGGGCCACCTGGACAATTGGCACGGGCATGTGACGGCGCTAACGGTCTCGCCCGACTACCGGCGACTCGGCCTGGCCGCGCTCCTCATGAGCTTCCTGGAGGACATTTCGGAAAAGTAGGCACACCGATCGCCGGACGACGCCGGGAACCAGCTTTCTCACTCTGTCTCTTACCTGCCATTTCCAGGAAGCGGGCATACTTCGTCGATCTGTTTGTACGGAAGAGCAACCAGGTGGCGATCAACATGTACACTAACCTCGGCTACATCATCTACCGGACCATACTCGAGTACTACTCCGGTGACCAGGATGAGGATGCGTACGGTAAGGCCCAATCCTCGTACCCCTTTCCTTTCCCAGCTCCCCCATGGCTGATCTTTCACCTTTCCACCTTTTTGCAGACATGAGAAAGGCCTTGTCGAGGGACGTGAACAAGAAGTCGGTCATACCGTACACGCAGCCTGTACGACTGGAAGATATAGATATGAATTGATACGATATCAACCCAGTAGCGCCCGCAATAGCATTTATGTCTAACTGATCCCGATCCACCAGTTTTAAAAGGGGCGCGAGCGCATCACATCGCAGCCCATTGATTTCTAGTTAAATTAGTTATGTAAATAATACGCAGTCCCACAATCCTCCCGGTCATAACTCCAACCGGTCTCCTGCTTGCGAAACGAACCGAGTCCCCTGCAATATTTACAAACTTGCATATCCCACCCAAAACTAAACCCGTATTGATAATGTCCATGTCTGCCCCGTTACGAAATTGAGCTAAAATTTTCGATAATTCTATTGACTTTGAAATTATTTAAAGATTTCTTAAGCCGATGCGTAAATAACCGTATTTCAAAGATTGTTCCACAGTTCTGAAGGTAAATAACGTAAGCAACTTGTTTACTTCATCAACGTAAATGACAACCAGTATCTAACGCCGTCGAATATAATCATTACCAACCCAAACACGATCCTCTAATGTGGCCGAATGTTTTTTGCAGATCACCATGCGCGAGCTGCGCAGACAAATGCGACACGATCACTAGATGGAACTATTCCCGGCAGACATATAAGCATAGCGACTCTAGAAGTACTTTATCGGCCTGCCGATTCCCAATAACTAATGTGTTACGTAGAAAACCCTTTTACCAAAATATACAAACTAAATGCAATCGCAAATATAGTGTTTTATCAATGTTTGATAATCAAAGAGCTTCGGCAAACTGAAGTTTACAGTACCTAATAACTAAAAGATTTTTTCAAATTCAAACATTTTATTTAAAACTTTAATATTTTTATTTAGTAAAACAGTGAAGTGAATTTTATTTTAGTTTTATTGTTCTTTTCTACGATTTTGTTGTCTGATCCGAGACATCTATAAGTGTAAACTTAACTAAACTGCGTTTGAATTTTAGCGAGAGTATAACAAATCCTTTTATTATAGTTTTTATATTGATTTTTTGGAAGCCTATTCTTAAACATACCATTTCCATGGGCTTGGCAATCAGCTCTTTTCCACTTTTTGCCCTAAGCCAGCAAGGACCTTATCATAAATCATACATAAATACATAAGTATATAGCCAGATGTTTGCGGATCCTGCGTGACTTTTCGTTCCTGACAACCGCCGTTTAATCAATACCCATACCTGGTGTTCAGTTCGGAGACTGATTGATGGGTGAGGTCACTCAGTGCGTGAAAAATGGCGAAGAAGGGAGGAGTCCAGCAGCTTCAGGCGGACCTCTCCACGGACGAGGAGTTCGAGAAGTTCCTGCAGCGATCCGGATTGCTGGGTACGCTATCGGTGGGAATGGGAATGGGAACGGGCAGGATAAGTGGTTCAATAATCAATAATCAGTGCTCGACATATACTCCGAGTGGTGCGGACCGTGCCTGGGAATGGTGGGCAGCCTGCGGAAGATCAAGCTGGAGCTCGGAGGCGATAACCTGCAGCTGGCCATCGTAAGACACCGTATTGCGAAGCATAATGATTTTACTCACGTTTCAATCATCCGAAACACCAGTGCAAAGCGGGTTCCATATCTTACCTGAAGCGCTTCAACAAGAAGAGCGAGCCCACCTGGATGTTCGTCACGGTGAGTGATACACGTCCCACAACTAATTTGAGTTCTTTTTTAAAAAGTATTCACCCCGAAAATCAATATCCTTTCGAATACTATGGAACATATTTTCAAATAAGTGTTTCACTTAAAAATACATGAAAACATTTGCCTTTTTATAAAAAATTTGCATTACAATTTGGGAAGTTTATAAAAAAATTAAACAATATTAAACGATCGATCCAATTTTCAAATTAAGCTATAAACTAAAATGACATCGTACCTTTTGCCATTTTTCAACAAATTGCTTATAAAATTAGTTCAAAGTTTCGTATCTTAGTTGTTTAAGGAGCAGTTATGTTTTTAAATATTTTAAAAAAATATCGTGTTGTCCCTATATTTTTAGTAATGTAAGTTATAGTCGCTAGGCTCCCTGATAAATAGTTTTTATGTTCTGACCGCATGTCATACTAAATGCATGGTTTAAATCTAGAAAATATATAGTAATTTCAATTGAAAGCCTACTTTTACTTTAACATGCAGATGAGAACCATTGAATTAAAACAAGATACATTTCAGAGCGGCAAGGCAATCAACATCATGTTCGGCACGGACGTGCCCAAGCTGGTGGCCATGATCACCCGGATGCTGCAGTCGACGCTGGCCAAGGAGTCACACGTGAGCTACGAGATCACCGAGTTGCAGCCGATCGAGCTGGAGCAGCTGGAGGTGCGCAACAAGGCGCTGCGCCTGGCCGAGGAGATCGAGCTGGCGGAGAGTCGGCGAAAGAGGCTGGAGTACCTACACAGCGTCACCGACTGCATCATGGCCAACCTGCCCGACATCGGGATAACTGTGTTCGGCCCCCAGGTGAACCGGGACATGTTCAAGAAGCTCTCGGAGCCGGCCGATCCGCTGAAGATCCAGTGCAAGGACCGCAAGGTCTTCCCCATCCTGCCCAGCGACATGGCCACAGTGAACTTCGCGGCCGAGAATCCACTGGCCCCGGAGGTCATCGAACTGCTCTACGACAAGGAGCTGCTCATGTGCTTCTGGAAGGTGGAGGAGGTGCTCGGGAGTCCGCCCACCGTGCTTCGCCAGTACGCCCACGAGCTCACCAAGGAGACCATCAAGCCACCGGGCGAGTTCAACGAGGAGGAGATCACCGTGCCGCCCATGATAGTACCCCTGGAGGTGAGCGTGAAGATCCCAGAGCGAGGTTAGTGTGCTCTCTTTTGGTTTCTTCTCTACTCACGGCTTTGGTCCTCGGCTAGAGCTATTGGAGGAGATGCAGGACACCCAGGACGCTGAGCAGCTGTCCGAGGTTAAGAGCGAGCATCTGAAGGAAGGCGAGGAGGAGGAGGAGGCGGCGGAAACAGCGGAAGATGCCGTTCCTCCTGCCGAAGCCGCTGCAGTTTCCAGGAGCGATCAGAAGAAGACCAAGACCATACGGATACCCCCGATCTGGGTGCCCAGTGACCAGCGCACCCATGCAGCCCTCATCTACACCTACTTTCGAGCCCAGACCTCGACCTTTCTGCCGCCGGATCCCGTGCCGGAGCCGCCGCACATCGTGATGATCTTCGACGCCTACAAGAAGAAGGACCTGGCCATTCTCCTCGAGACGTGTCGCGATGACATTCCGCTCTACGGCTTCTTCAATAGCGACAATCCCCAGACGGCGGTGTTCATAGCCAACTCGGTGGAAAAGTACAATGCCAAGCCCTATATTCCGTAAGTGGAATGGCTTCATCCTGGGCATAATCTCCAATTTGGTTTGTGTTACAGCACTGACAAGATCGTGCTCAAGGTGAACAAGGTCAGCAGCCCGACCATCCCCACCCTGATGGCCTATGGTCCCAGCTACGTGAGCAGCAACTCGGTGATCGGGCACAAGGAGGCCAGTCAGTTCTTCCCCGCCAACTACAAGTCGGCCCTGCAGGAGGAGGAGGAACTGCACGCTGTCAAGGCGGAGAAGCCGAAGAAGCGCAAGAAAGTGGGTCCCATACCTAGGTCCTCCTGTTGCGGTCATTTACGATCATTGTTGCCATTGCAGAACAAAAAGGGCGGAGATCCCGAAGAGAGCGGTAAGGCGGACGCCGGACTGGCGGATGCGCAGCAGGAGGCTGACGAGGCGGTGAAGACCTCGCCGGAGGAGGGTGCCTCCACGACGAGCAGTGGCGAGGACAGCTGCGAAAGTCGTCCTGCAACAGCCGATGGCATCAATCCTGAAGCTCCGTCCATATAGATCTTAATTTCCCTACTTACTAATATTTTTCAATGAGCTATTTTATTTCCACCATCATATTTCGGCATTTGGAGTTATTTATTTAAACGCTGGTACAATATTTTAAAGATGCATCTAATTTAATCTAATCTAATCTCTTATTTGAAACGGTGCTAGCATTCTTGTAATACATTCAAAATTTCAAATCTTATACACAGAAATAAATAATAAAGTTGCCCTCGGCCAAGTCCCAGTTCAACTTAATGTGGCATTTTATTGTAAAGGTATTTTGGATTTATAATTTCTATTTACTGACTTTTCAATGAGGTCTAAAATGAAATTTCTTGATCTTTGATACCAGGCGAACAGAGTCCGTAGCAGGTGGTTGCTGGGCGTTGCGATTTTTTACTGGAAGACAACCGTTAGTTTAGTATAAGCGGACTAGAGATGGGCAATCGCTTGATTGGCAACAATGCCGTCACATATTTTGAAACGACACACCTCTAGTTAAGCCTTAAAAACTAATCGTTGGCCACCTACGAATTTTCCTGTTCACCTGGTGCTTCAAATTAAAAAATCACTCGTTTACTTCAACATATTGAAAGCCTTCCTAAAATTTTCTCGATCAAAGTGGTGGACTTATGGTCTCAGACACCAGGCAAACAGAAAATATAGCAAGTGACAGCTGGTAGCCAAAAGTGAACTTAAATAACTGTTCATTTTCAAGATGGCGGCCCTTTACATATTTCCCCTCCCCCCAATGACCAATAGGAATTAATCTCCATGGGAAAGATCCGTTAGTTAAGAGCCAAGCGCAGACCAGAGATGAGCAACCATGGCCGTGTCACAGGCTTGTCACGAGCTTGTCAAGATCTTGTCACAAGCTTGTCCCGTTATACCGAAAAGAAGCAGTCACGAGAGCATCTCCAATTAGCTTCGATTTAACAAATCAGCTGATCGGTTCTCCACCTGCTAAACGTTTATGTTCTCCTGGTGCTTGAAATTAAAAATCGTCAATTTACTTCAACATGTTAAGGGCTTCGTTACGTTTTTTCCGTCAAAGTGCTGGATTTATTGGTCTCAGACACCAGGCAAACAGAAATCTTAGCAAGTGTCAGCTGGTAACTATGATTTTACTTAAAGAACCGTTATTTTTCAAAATGGCGGACCTTTGCATATTTCCCCTTCCCCCACTGACCAATAGGAATTGATTACCATGGGAAGGATCCGTTAGTTGAGAGCCAAGCGCAGACCAGAGATGAGCAACCATCGCCGTTTCACAAGATGGTCACGAGCTTGTCACGATCTTGTCACGAGCTTGTCGCGAGCTTGTCACGTTTGTCGAAAGGAAGCAGTCACTAGGGCATCTCTAAGTAAGCTTGGATTAAGCAAATCAGCTGATCGTTTTACACCTACTAAACGTTTATGTTCGCCTGGTGTCTGAAATAAGAATTCTAACAATTCGACAATTTGCTAAACGAGCAAACAAGGTCTGAAATGAAATTTCTTGATCTTTGGCACCAGGCCAACACAATCCGTAGCAAGTAACTGCTGAACATTAACATTTTCTTACTGGAAGGAACCCGTTAGTTCAGTATAAGCAGACTAGAAGTGGGCAATCGCTTGATCGGCAACAAATTTACTAAATTACTAAACTTCACATTTTTTAAACTTCTATTTTTGCGAAAATCAGTCAAAAATTAAAGTGATTGCCGAAAAACCTAGTTTGCTTGGGTCAAAAAAGAGGTATAAAGATTTTAGACCAAAATACCATTATTTTGTGCTGTTTTTCGGTCGTAACTTTGTCAGAACGAGGCGCACAGCAAAAAGACTAACTGTTTTGAGCAGCTAACAACCTAGGCTTCCGATCCCCATCACATTCCGGTAAATTAATTTTTTGACTAAATTTCACATTTTTCATAAGGGGTAACATTGTCTATTTTTGCGAAAATCGGTCAAAAATTAAAGTTTCCGTGTTTGAATGCCAATCGATTGAGAATTTAATTACGAGCTCAACGAGGTATGACATTCCATATTCCGACTTTATTTCGCAAAATGATTGCCAAAAAACCTAGTTTGCTTGGGTCAAAAAATAGGTATACGGATTTTAGACAAAAATACCATTATTGAATGCAGTTTTTCAGTCGTAACTTGGTCAAATCGAGGCGCACAGCTGAAAGACCGACTGTTTTGATCAGCTAACAACCTAGGCTTCCGATCCCCATCACATTCCGGGATATTTATTTTTTGACTAAATTTCACATTTTTCATAAGGGGTAACATCGTCTATTTTTGCGAAAATTGGTCAAAAATTTAAGTTTCCGTGTTTGAATGCCAATCGATTGGGAATTTAATTACGAGCTCAACGAGGCATGGCATTCCCTATTCCGACCTCAATTCGCAAAATGATTGCCAAAAAACCTAGTTTGTTTGGGTCAAAAAAGAGGTAAAAAGATTTTAGACCAAATACCATTATTTTTTGCTGTTTTTCGGTCGTAACTTTGTCAGAACGAGGCGCACAGCAAAAAGACTAACTGTTTTGAGCAGCTAACAACCTAGGCTTCCGATCCCCATCACATTCCGGGAAATTTATTTTTTGACTAAATTTCACATTTTTCATAAGGGGTAACATCGTCTATTTTTGCGAAAATCGGTCAAAAATTAAAGTTTCCGGGTTTGAATGCCAATCGATTGGGAATTTAATTACGAGCTTGACGAGGTATGACATTCCCAATTCCGACTTTATTTCGCAAAATGATTGCCAAAAAACCTAGTTTGCTTGGGTCAAAAAATAGGTATACGGATTTTAGACAAAAATACCATTATTTAATGCAGTTTTTCAGTCGTAACTTGACTAAATTTCACATTTTTCATAAGGGGTAACATCGTCTGTTTTTGCGAAAATCGGTCAAAAATTAAAGTTTCCGTGTTTGAATGCCAATCGATTGGGAATTTAATTACGAGCTTAACGAGGTATGACATTCCCAATTCCGACTTTATTTCGCAAAAAGATTGCCAAAACAACTAGTTTGTTTGGGTCAAAAAGGGGTACAAGGATTTTAGACAAAAACACATCAAAACAATGAATTTTATCTTTGGTAAGTACGGACTTCGCTCTTTCTGAATTTTAAATTCGATTACGAGCTTTGACTTCCTCTATCGTATCGATTGCTCACTGTTATCGTTTTCCCGAATAAGGGGAAATCAGCTGTTCTCGCCGTCACGAACGTGATTGTAAATTGAAGTAAAATTGTATAATTGTTGTATTAAAACACAAGCCTGGTCGACCGATGGATCCCAATTTGCGTAACGTAAGCCGTATAGAAAGCGATTTGACCGCAGATAACCCGTACACACCTTCCATGCATTCCAGCTCAAGGACTTTCTCACATTATACAACAAAGTGACGGAACTGTGCTTCAGCCGATGCGTGGATAACCTGAGCCAGCGCGCGCTGGGCGGCCAGGAGGTGAGTAGCAGCTGAGGCATCGCATTCCCGAGTGACACCCCCCTAATAACACGTCTCCACAGGACATCTGCGTGGACAGGTGCGTCACCAAGTTCGCCCGCTTCAATCAGAATATGATGAAGGTCTATGTGGACGTGCAGACCACCATCAACGCCAAGCGCCTGGAGGAAGTCGAGGAGAACGCCCGCAAGGCCGAGCAGCTGCAGAAGGAGCAGGAGAAACAGCGACTGAAAGAGGCGGCCGCCACGACAGTACTTACTCCTGTCCAGCCGCCTGTCGGCGGCAATCTGTCCATGTAGCAGCAGTCCTCGGGGTGGTGTGCCACGCCGCAGCTGCTGTTCTCGATCCTGGATAGCTAATCGCGGAATCCAGCCCGTCCTCCACGCACACATACAAACACACATAGTCAGCCGTCATCTCCATTAACACTTCCAATAACCAACTGAACAATATCGCCCAATGCGGTGCATTTGCCTGGTTGCACTGATCGGCCTGCCAGGAGCGGGCAAGTCCTCACTGTGCACCTGGCTTTTAGGCCAGCAGGCTACCCTCCGCGTCCGCCACATCGTCCACGTGTGCTACGACGACTTCCTCGACGTTAAACCCTCGGCCGAGTTGGCCTACAAGGAGCAGCGCGGACGCGTCTTTAAAGTAATAGAACAACTCATAACCGCCATTCAAGAAGACACCGATTGGCCGGCACAAGTCAGGCGGAGTACTGCCTCTAGTAGCGACCCCAGCAGTGGAGGCCACCTCATCCTGTGCGACGATAACTTCTACTACCGCAGCATGCGCCACCAGCTCCACCAGCTGTGTCGCACTACTGGCTGCGTCTTTGGACAGATACACACCAACAGTTCTCTTGCCCACTGCCTGCGGGAAAACTCCAAGAGGAGTGAATCCAACCGCGTGCCCGTAAATATAGTCCGGCAGATGAATGAGCGGCTGGAGAATCCGGGATCGGAAGCCTGGGAGCGCAACAGTCTCACACTCAACAACTTGGATATGGATGCTACAGGACCTTTGCTCCTCGACTTCATTAGTTCCCTGCTCGATATGCCCGCATTGCCACCGGCAACGGAAATACAGACATCGCAAAATCAGTCACTAACCCACAGGCTGGATCTGCTGCTGCGGGCGCGCATCGGGGCACTGCTCCAGGGAATGGCGCCGGAGGGCCGGCGGCTGGCAGGCAGGACACTGAACAACAAGCGAAAGCAGATACTGACACGCTTTCGGACGGAGGGCGAACAGAGAAATGGCGACGCTGAGGACGAGGCCGTGGATTACTATGTACATTTGTTAAACTAGGCTAAGATAAGCTAAATTCGTTTGTATGCCACACACACACTTGGCGACTTAAATACATAGATATGTTACTAAACCCTTTTTTGGCATTAAAACTAATTTATTTAGCGAAAAAAATAGAAGTTAACTCTAGGGAACCACCTCAGACCACCTTAACCTGGCTGGTGTCGCGCTTCTGGATCATGCGCATCTGTTTCTTCTTCATGCGCTTCAGCTTGGCGGGATTCTTGATGACCTGGACGACCTCCGAGCGGCGCTCGTTGGCCAGTCGGCGCTCGGCGTTCTCCACGCGGCGCTTGTGCTTCTGGACGGCATCCTCCTTGCGCTTGTCCTTGATCTCCTTGGAGCGCTCCTTGATGTAGCGCAACTCGTCGCGCAGGGCCGACTTCTTTTCGAAGGTCAGCCGGTTGATGGTCTTCTTGATCTTGCTGAATCTTCAAGAGAAGCGGCGGTTGTTAGATGGTTGGCAGGTGAGTTGCCCGAGGACCACTTACTTCTGTTTGGGCGTCTTCCACGGCCGGTTGGACTTGGGTTGCCCCCGTGGAATGCTGTTCTCCGGCTTCGCCTCCTTCTTGGCCTTCGAGGGCGTCTTGGCTGGCGCAGTTTCTGGGGCGGCTTCACTCATTTCAGGGAATAAATAAAGCAAATCTAAACACAATACAAAACACGAATGCACGTGTTGACTGACCGTCTATCGATAACACGCGGCGAACATACATATGTCTTTGGTGATATCGGAAATTCCGGGGTTGCTTTCGATCACAAAACCATTTGCGCCAATTTCAAAATAGTCTAGATGGGAAATAAGTTGATTTTGATAGTATTTTGCTCTAAGGGGTAATTTTGAATAATAAAACGAATTACTTCTTCAACAGACAGATCCCTTATGTTATTTCCTTTTCTTTGCTGTGAAGAGAAAAGCATTTGTTTTTTTTCAACAGAAACTATATTTTTGTTCAACCCGTTTTTACAAATAATTAGCTTAATGTGCGCTGCAAATTCGTACATACATAGTTGTTAAGTTAAATTTTGAAATAAAATACACAAATTTGGTTACTTGTTTCCGTCTAGGGATTATACTTTTGGCCTGGTTAATTACTAATGCGGGAATGGCCAGCTTGATGTTGTTTTTGAACCAGGAAAAACCAGAATTTTATTTCACTACAATTTAACAATTTCGACGGGGCTCGCCAAGCCCAGCAGACGATGCCTGCCCACCGATTTCCTGGCAACTTTGGCATTAATGTACATATTTACATAGGATTCACGTCGACAACGGCCGCAGCTAGGAGGGAGTTCACGATCCGGACTTCGTCTGTGCCTGGGCCACCTGGTTGCTGCGATTGTGCTGGTCGATGTTGTAGTGGTAGAAGAAGGACTTGCCGTACTCGAAGGACGAAATCATGATCGCACACGCGGGCGCCACCTTGAAGAGTCGCGGGCCCAGTCCAGAGAAAATGGCGGGCATTCCGCCCAGGCGGTAAATGCTGGCCAGGCGCACCGCCACCGACTTGGTAGGCACTTGTTGCTTGGGGGGATTATCTGCCGTAATGCAAACCGAACCATTGTCAATGCTGGTGCGGGATCTGGTTGCAGCAAGCTGAACCACATTGGGCCTACCTGAAAATATGAACTTCTCGCCAAACTCGATCTGCTCGTGGGTTTTCACCACGTCGAAGGGTGTAGTGATTGTGGCAGCCACCTACAAAGAAATAAAATTAGTGGGATAACACTTAAGAGTTGACTTTAGCCAAGGGCAGATAGCCTCACCGATCCGGATATCGCTCCAGCCACAAAACTGAAGCTAAACGTTGGCTCCACTACGTTGAAGGAGCTCTTCAGGTACTCGTAGCAGGTCCAGTAGATGCCCGAGAAGGGTACGTCGCGCAGGATGGTTGGCGGCAGGCCGCGCCACAGACCCAGCACGCCCTGCGACTGCACCACCTGGCGAATGGTGCCGAACATCTCGGCGTGCGTCATGCGCTGCGACTGCATCTTGGTGCGGATCAGCTCGACGGGGCTCACGCAGGTGACGGCCAGGATGCGGGCCGATACGCCGGCCAGCAGCGGAACCAGGGTTGGAATCGGAAGTGGAATGTCGCGGCCGCTGGCGTCCAGGCGCCGCATGTACTTGTAATGGATGTCGGTGAAGCGGGCCTTGAACTGCTCGTAGGCCACGAAGTATATGATGGTCGAGGGCAGGGCCGAGATTAGCGTTGGGCTGAGCCCCGACCACAGGGAGCCGACGCCCTCGGTGCGGCTGATCTTAATGAATGCGTCCTGCATGGGCAGTCATGGTTAGGTTCAGTTCGCTACAGGCTCTCCTGCTGTTTGCTACTCACAATGGTGCCAGAAAAGCGGGGAGCTGGCTTGGCGGCTGCTGGGTTGGGCGTGTCCGGGCCGCAGGGGCAGATGTGGTCCATGAGGCCGTTGCAGTAGAGGAAGCACTTATTTGAGAGCAGCGCCTGCTGCTGGGCCTGCAGACGGGTCTTGATCACATCGAGGGGTGTCACTGCAACGAGGAATGCATATGTAGATGCTAGTCAGGCAGGGATGAGGATCATGGCTAACTCACTGAAACAGGCTGTCACCATGGCGCCGGTGCAGGCGGAAGCTACCTGCTGTAGGGGTCGGATACGGAAGCGGGGGTCCGTCATCGTGGCCTTCGACTGGTTCTGGCTGGGAGTGGCCGCCAACGCCGCGCTGGCAGCCGCAAAGTGGGCGCAGGCCTCCCTCTTGGCCATGTCAGAAGCACTCGCTCTTTCCTAGCTGCCGGAGCACGCTTCTTGCGGTAGTGTCACTGGGAGCTCCGGTAAGCTGGCGAGGATTGGATTTGGTGGTTAACGATTAGCGGTTAGCGAGAGGATGTACAATGGGTGAGCAACGCGCGAGCTGCTCTGGATTTTATTTGTTGTCGAGTGCGAGCTGGGCAATTGGGCAAGCCCGCGATCGTTGTGAAATAATCTCCAGGTCCAAAATTAAGCACCGTGCTCGTCCGTTTCGTCCCATTTCCATTCCGTTCCGATGGACAGCTGCCGCTGGGCAGGCGATCAGCTGTTGCCGCTCTGCACTATCGATAGTGCAACCGGGATGGAACTGCACTAATGGTAACGGTGCTATCGAAAATCGGGCGTATTGGGGAAATCTCCAAAACCAAACCGTTAGTGGTTTGAATTTGTTAATTGTTTGATTGAATCATTCAATACCACAGCGCTTATCTTTTGTTACACACATTTTAAAAATATTAAAAAAAAAAGTTCTTTGAAAATAAAAATATTAGGAACTATAAAAGTCTCCGAACTTGTTTTTTTTCAAATTCGGTTAGAAAAGAATATAAGCGTGATTTTCCAAGACACTGGTTGTATAATAAAAACTAAACCCCACTCTCCTCCTACCTACCCGCCTCCTGGAGATCCAGATTGTAGTGAAAGAAAAAAGACTTGCTGTACTCGAAGGTGGAGATCATGATGGCGCAGGCGGGCACCACACGGAGCATGCGCGGCACAACGCCGACGTAGAGGCCCCGCACACCCTGCTGCCGGTGGATGTGGCGCAGCCGTGAGAACATCGAGGGCTTGGTGATGGCACTGGGCTGTGCCCTTGGCCCTCCCTCCTCGTAGAGCACGTCCTGACCCAGCTCAATCTGCGTGTGGGTGGTAATCAGGTCGAAGGGCATTGTCACAAAGGTGGCCACCTGCCAGGGGGACACGGAATGCAAAACTTGTTAGCTCTCGAGAAAAATGCTTAGCACAGGGTTGTATTATGGGGTATCTAAAACGGCAGCGCACTGCTCACCCACCGCTCCGGAGACGGCGCCCGTGAAGAAGCTAAAGAGGAAAGAGGGCTCCGCCACGCCGAAGGCCCGCTTCATCGCCTCGTAGGCCGCCCAGTAGGTGCCAGAGAAGGGGGCGTCCCGCATAACGGTGGGCGGCCAGCCCCGCCACAGACCCATCATCCCGTGCTGGCGGATCAGCGAGCGCAGCACGCGCCACAGCTCCGAGTAGGTCATGTACTCCGACTGCATCTTGATGCGCACCATCTCGATGGGCGTGATGGCTGTGACCACAATGGTGCGCGAGCAGATGCCCGAGGCCATGGGCACATAATATGGAAGCGGTACATTGGACACCGGCGCTGTGGCGCTTACATTTCGACTCCTGGTGGCCATGTCTAGGGGATCCCCACCATCCCCGCCGGGCACTTGGTCCACCGCGCCGGATTCCTCAAGCTTGGGCAATTGCGAATCCAAGTAGATCTGGGACAGGGAGTTCTTGAGGTACTCATAGGTCACAAAGTAGATGATCGTGGAGGGCAGGGCTGAAACTAAAGTGGGACTGAGGCCTGCCCACAGGCCGCTGAGACCGCTGGTGCAAACAATCTTGACAAAGGCGTCCTATGTTCGAAAGAATAGATTTTTCAGGGTATTAAATAAACCAATATATACGAGAGCAGGAGAACATCCCATCCATAAGAATATATACATAAATGCAAATTGGTTTAAACAAGCTCTGCCCATTCTCTAACGCCACACCCAAATAAATAAGGTTTTTAGGATGCACCTTGATAGTGGGCCCCTTAAAAAATTGTACTATGAGGGAGTTGAAGGCCCCGACTCACCATGGAGCCGCGCAGGGGTCGAAGGTCTCGGGGGTCCCGGCCTGGTTTCGGGAAGCAAATGTCGCTGGAGCGGCACACGTGGGTCATCAGGCCGTTGTGGAAGACGTAGCAGAGCTTGGAGACAGTCGGTCGCTGGCGGATCGCGTGCTGGGTCTGCACCCGGGTCTTCACCACCTCCAGTGGCGTCACTGGCCGGGTTGAAGATTAGACCCCCAATCAGACCTAGGATCGAATCTTCCTGGTCTACTTACCCACAAACGTCGTGATGAGACCGCCGATGAGTGCGGACACCACCTGTTGCATTGGCTTGATGCGGTACCGCGGATCCGCGCTCAGGATCAGTGTTGTCAGCCGCAGCGGATCCATCTCCTTGTACTCCAATCGTTTCCTGTCCTCCTCGTCGGCACTTACATTTTGGCAATCCAGCTGCGGCGGCATTTTTATTATATTGCTATATAGTTTTTATGTTTTTTTATTTTGGGTGGGTTCGTTTCTTATTGGATATCCAATGCCAATTTCTGGCGAGGTTCTGGCCACTATGTGTCGGCTCACAAGTGGGTGGATTTCAGAAAGACAGGACTTCCGGTCTTCAGGGAAGACATCCCTGGGCAGCGCCTTCAATTTGGTATGTTCGTGTTGCGCACGCAATGTATCTGAGCCGAAGTTTTTTTTCGGAACGAACACTAAGCTGAGAAAAACTTTTGAGTTGAGGCGTCAGGCCTAGTCAACATGCTTACTGGTAAAATGATTTTACTTACCATACTTAAAAATTCTTCATTCCCCCATAAAAATATGCAAAGAAATTTTTAAAAATGTGCAAACTCACAACCACCGATTTAATTAATCCAAGTAGAAGTCTCTGTTCAAATTCATTTCGATTTTCTAGCTGGAATTAGCCATTTAACTGATCAAAATCGATTCAGTTGGATAAATCTTGATTTATTTTTCGATGGGAGAGGAAAGGAAAGCCAATGCGGGGACAGCTACGACAAAATTGATTACGTTTAATGCGAAAAAATTATAAATATGAATTAAATTAATCAAATTTAATAATAATTTGAATTATATTTAAGTTAATGAGTAGTAAGTCAGTAACATAGTTTAGCTTTAAGTCGGAACCAAAAAAAAATTAATCATTTAGATAGGATTGGATTAAACTCAATGTGTGTAGGATTTAATCTGATCAGCGGTAGCCTTGCACGTCTCCTCCCTCTCCTCCTCCTCCTTCTGGGGCAATGGTGATTGGATTGGATTGGATAGCTGGACTGGGGCTGGGTTGGATCTTCACTTGTGCGCAATGGGAATCAGTGTCTCGCCGGCGGTGAGTGCTGGCAGGGGGGCATCCACGGTCAGGACTCCGTCCTTGCTGAGGGACGACCGGATGGACTCGGGATTCACGCCCTTCGGCAGCAGGAACTCCCGGTTGTACTCCCTGTACACGCTCTTTGTGTCCGACTTCTCCTCGTGCTTGGCGTGCACCTGAATCCGATATCAATTAGTACCTCGCCAAGGTATAATGTATGGGATCACTCACCAATAGCTTTTGATCGACGGTTTTCACCACAATTTCCTCGGGGGCGTACTGGCTGACATCGAAACGCAGCTTCAGCACTTTGTTGTCACCCTCATCCTGTAATCATTGGCATTATTACTATTATAATTCCATTTGCAAAATGGGTTCAATTCAATTTCCATACCTGTATCAAGGGAGAGCTAATGTCGGAAACGTAGTTCTGTTGCTTTGGGATTCTGGATGGCAGAGCCGAGTTTGTCGTTGAGCTGCAAAATAAGTTCGGAAAATGTTGAAACTAAGAAGTACACAAAAAAACTAAACCAAAACATAAAGATTTCAATGGGAAATAGGAAAATCAAAAGTGTTAGAGATGCGTGGAGGAACCTGGTGGAGGAGTTGGTAGTAGTGGTGGTAGTCGTGGTTCTCGTGCTACGAAAGGTATTTTGCAGAGTGCGCGTGAAGGCCTCCATTCTGATGCTGCTCTAGGATGAAACTGATCTCGAGGACGATCACAACTCAAAAGATAAGGCCGTGATGCTCAAGACCCACCTAAAAATAGATCTGACTTCCGCTTCAGATCCCCATGTTCCAATCTGGAGCTGCAGCTGATGCAGCACTTCAAAAATGTGTTCATATGTCTGCATTACAAAATACACGAATGATATATTTTCTATTTTGAGGACCTATACACAAGGGAACTGCACGCATGCACATATTTTCTGGCATCTGTCTCAAGGCTTATAAGTCGTGGTTCAAGACTGCTAAGACTTTCTACAAATATAAATAAACCATGCTATCCTACTTTAAATAACACCCTCCTGACTCAGCTGTCACTCAAGTATAGCTATATTTTATGTAGATATATCATGTTAAAGTTAGTATTATACATTAAAAACAAAATTGAACTTTTCTTTTCTTAATTATATTGACGAGACTTAGCAAATTTCTATTCAGAAAACTCAATACTTCAAACTCCCCGTAACACCTACCAATCCTATAGTTTGTCATTTGAACGTACATATGTATTTAACTGTAAACATTTAATAACTTTCTTCAATTACGATTTGCTGTTAAACGTGCAATGTTTATTTAGTTCATGAAGGTGTGCGGGGATTGCAATTACACTTAGCAAATAAAAAGTAAGTTATCAACAATCGGGGAAGGAAACGTTAAGAGTAAACAGAAAATAAAAGTTTAGATGGTAAACTTTCTACGTTTTTGTACCTGGTAGTTGTTGTTTTTTTAGTAGAGCTTTTTGTTTTAAGATAGGGGTGGAGATTTTAATATAATATGGAAATTATGCGGTTGTTTAATGTATTCCAAGCGGCAAGAAAGAGAAAAATAGAGGAAAAAGAGATATATTATGTAAGATATAAGGTAATATACATAGTTATAGGAGGGTCAACGACTCTTACTTCTAAATACATTATAAGAATATACACATAGGGATGCCCTTGAAACCCGAAAATTGTTCATCAATTCCAAGAAAAAAAAGAGTTCCATTTAAGATTTATTTTTTAGTGGCGGTTTTCCATCATAGAAATTGCGAAGAATAGGAATTTTATCTTTGTCTTCCAAGGACATGGGCAATGGTTCAAGATAAGGACTATTGTTTTTAAACTTGTCAACATTATGGTCCACCTTAATATATAAAGAAAATGAGAGAGGGGTTTCTGAGCTGAAGGGACGTAATCGACCGTTAAACCTGTGAGCGTGTCGCAGTAAAGCGTTTGCGAGACTCATTGATAAAGAAAACCATCAACTGACACTCCGTGCTGAAAAAGATGGAAAGAAGCAGAGGTAGCTTATCGATCGAGGCCGAAACGTGAGCTTGCGTGGGCCTCCGGCGACCTTGCGGCGTTTTTCAGGCTTTCCAGGTGAAGGGGCCATTGATCGCCCGCTGGAGAAAGAGAAACCAATACAACGCTAATGATAAGTACCAATAACCGTTAGTCTGGGCAAAGTTTCTTTGGGGGAAGCAAGAGGAAGCACCTGCACCTGCTCTCACACTCCCACTCCCTCTCTTCCACTCTCTTTTGTACACGTTCGTTCATGTGTGTGCACACACATGTGTGCGTCTATATCTCACTGGCATCTGATGACAATGATGTCATGCATATTTTTTCGTTATTGAAAAGCCAAACGAAAGGAAACCAAAGAAGAAACAAAAATAAACACAGACACAAGAAACAGAAAAGAAATGAGAACGAATTGAGCGCAAACAAAATGATTCTCTTTTGTTGTTTGCCAGTTTGCCAGCCAGTGTGCATGTGTGTGCGTGCGAACAAATGTTGAATTAAAATATCGATTACCGACGACGATCGCAGCTTTGTCATCGATCCCACCGATTGCAGCGCAATAGCAGCGGCTAAAAATTGACATGATATCATCGTCCGTTGCTCATTTAAATTATCAGCATCCAGCAACCAATATTGGCAACTAAATCGCCGCAGTATGTGCTCATCTCATCGCATCTGAACTGAAAGCTTTTCGCACAGCGCTATTTGCATGATAAATATATGTGTGTGATCTTAGCGTACTTATTTGTTTAAACTGTGCGCACACCCAGGCGCAAGGCCGATTAATGAGTCTATAAATTCAACAGATCGAAATTATAGCCCTTGTTTGCTAGCTAAAATGGCCAGTATAATTATAATGTATATTTCTGTACATCTGATGATCACCGGGATCTTTGTATCATTTGATTTTCAATTAGAACCATATCGTCAGCAAGACCTGAATATCTGCAGATACCTCCATCAAAGTGCGGCTTATAGCACCAGAAACGGCGCAGTTGGCCAAGTCTCCATCAAAGCCCTACCCCCAAACCTTCCTAGCACACAAAAATATTTACATATACGCGAATTTAATTTTAAATCAACAAATTGCCCTGAACAGCTTTTGGCGTCAACGTAGAATTCGCATATTTGTAAGCTTATTGTTGTTATCTTAAATTATATTCCTATGGATGCCCGAGAAAGCCAAGTTGTGTATCTCAGGATACTATATAGGGGTGGGCCAAACCGAGCGGAGGTGCCAAAACGCAATGGGCTGGTCTTAGGCTTATGCAAGTTAAACATCTTAGGCGCCACGTCAGTCCACTTGGTGGGGGCTACCTTCCTATTTGGATTTATGAACCTCTGCTGAGTCATTCAGAAGATATCACGCAGCGCATTAATCGGCGACACGCTATAATGTCAAAGGTCGCGACGATGTGTGGTGGACAGTGGACAGTAAGCAGTTTGCAGGTGAATAATCTGATTGAATTGTGTGTTTAGTATTGACTGGAGTCACTGCCATAACAAAATACCATCTAAAGTTAACGATATTATTTTTTTCCTCGTCACACCAGTAATCTATTAACAAACTTTGCCACTGTGAATTCATGATTAATTTAATTTGTTGTCAGGAAAGAACCTGGAGCAAACACAGGTGTGGCTAGGGGCAACTAATTTGGGTTAATTTCCTCCAAATTGCCAACTTTTGCTTTAAATGGCCAAAGTTAAAACGGGGGAGCTGCTCGGCCCGTGGAGTTTCTAGACTTTCCCAGAAAAGTTTCTCCACTTTTGTTGTGGCCATGCAAATGCAGTGGCGACCATGGCGAAAGCAAGAACAACAACAACATACCGTCCATTAGTTGGATTACGTCATAGCCATAGACCGAGGTCGTTTCAATAGCAATCAAAACAGGCGCCCACGCACGCTACTCTATTGGAGATTGAATTTGGGAGATTCGGATTCGAGGGGCTAACGGGCCGCGCAAAAGCGACAGATACGTAATATTTGCCATATGCCTCGGGGGCATTGTTTGTTTATTAATCACCAATTTGGACAATAAACCTACAAGGAGAACAAACAAATTGCGACCATCTTTACTAGATATTGGATTATATGGGACTGTATGGAAACTTTGATTATCAGACCAAGTCGAAGGTCGAAAATTGGGTTAATTTATAGTCAGAAAAGTTAAGCAAAATTAAAATGAGGCAAGCGTATAAGAACGCACTTTTCTCGCCAGGTAAAAAAGTGTAAGTTTAAAAATAATTCGGAATTTCGAAAAGATGCATAACAAGAATATGATCATTTAGCTGGGGATCGATTGCCATGCTTTTTCTGTCAAAATAGACCTGCTATTAAATATCACTGGGAAAGCAAAGATTTTAGTATCTTATCCTATAATCGAGAAGATTACAAGTCTGGTGCTTATATACACAAACACTACCAAATGTCTTGGCACAGGTGATTTTCAAAATTTG